TTGAAAGAGAAATTTTATCAAGGGTTTATGATAATGTTTTATTAATACGAACAAAATAACTATTCTTATAAATAATTATTGTTCAAGACAAGAAAAAAAAATATCATATTGATAAATATATCATTGATTCAATAGTAATGATATATTTATCAAATTGAACAATGAATTTAATATATAGATCGAGGTTTTTCTCTGGGTGTACTATATCGGTTGTATCATAATATACACTACACTTAAATGATACTATAAATAAATAAACTCACACATACACACATATGCATTTATAACATTGTGTCTAATGTAAGTATAACATGATAAAAAGTAACCGTAAAATGAAAAAAATGGAATATAAATTTTATTACTCATATTAAATGTAATGTAACTCGAAAAATATTTGTTTAAATGAAAAAATATAAGATTATATTTTTATTTATAATTGTCTTTTAAACAACTTTTGTGCGAAACTTTTTTTTGTAAGTTAAATATTTTTTTTTGAGAAAATTAAGAAAGCTCATATTTTTGAACTTTTGCGAGGATGTAAAAAAAAAGCTCAATTCCAATCTTGAGGACTATTAGTATGTCATTATACATATTTTAATTCAACTTTTAAAAAAATAAAATTTGTTTGGAAATTTTTTCCGCAATTTTTCCTTTGTTGACTGGCCTAGATGTCAATTTTAAACTTGTAATTGAGCTAAAAGTTATGGTAATATATTCAATTTTTTTACTATAAACTTTCATAAATCTTTATCACAAATATTTCATCAACTTTAAAGAACCAAAAAAAAGGTTAAAATTGAAAATTTGGACTGATTATTTTTAACATATTAAAAATCAAATCAGTAATATTTTGAAAACAAATTTTTTTTTCTTTTAATTATTATTTTATATATATTTAGTGATAATTTAAAAAATTAGAACTGATAGAAAAAGTCTAATTGCAGATTTGAAAACAACGCGCGAAAATTTGATTTAGAAAAGTATATTTTTGCTTCTGATGAAAGTTCCTTGTAGTCCAGTGCATTTTTTTATAGTAACAAACAGTTTTTATTGAAAATTATTGTATCAAGCCCTTTAAATTTTTATACACGTAAAAGTAAAGCAAAATATAACTTCTTTATTATTTTTATAATTTCTCCGTTTAAATTACAATATTAAATATCAATTTCATACTAAATTTAATAATTATAATTAGTATATATTCAAATATTATATTTTAAAATCAAAGAACTACTAATCATGATATAATTAAAGAAATAAGAGTTGATGTTGCTTTTGGAATAATCCACCAATTGCCTAATTAAAACAAAAAAAAAAAAAGTTTGTTGGGAATTTTTTCTGCTATTCTGCAAAATTACTCCTTCGTTGACTAGAATGAATCATTAAATAGAAAATTTTATGAGAATTAAAACAATGTTATTTTTAAGATTAATATGCAGTCAGAAAGTTTTATAATTATTATTTATTGTAAATTTATCAGAAAAACTCATTATTTTTTGCATTTTTATCGTAATAGAACACTTAAATAGAAATCATAGTAATCATTTCTAAGTAATTTTTGATATTTAAAAAGATTCTACTATTGAAATATCCAGAACTGAATTAATTTTAATGATTTACTTTAACTAAAAAAAAAAAAGTTAATATTTTGAATCCCTCTTGTGGGCAGGTAAAGGGTTAGATTTATAAAAAAAACCAAATGATAGATAAAGACATGCATCTAAATAAAAAAAAATATACTGATTTGGTCATTTTTGATAAAGTTATAACAATTAACAAAGTTATAAGTTTTATACACTGGACTACAAGGAACTTCCATCAGAAACAAAAATATACTATTCTAAATCAACTTTTCGCGATGTTTTAAAATGTGCAATTAGACTTTTTCTATAACTTCTAAGTTTTAATATTATTAAAAAATAGTTTTTACATATAAAAAAAAATAATTAAGAACAAAAAAAATTGTTTTAAATTAATACTGATTTGATATAATATTTAATATTAATTTGATTATTAATAAGTTAAAAATAAGGAAAATGACATATTTAACCTATTTTGTTAATCGTTTAAAGTTGATTGTTGTAAATGTTTATAATAAAAAAAAAAAATTTATTTTACCATAACTTTTAGCTCAATTGGTAAGTTTGACATTGACATAATTAAATAGAAAATTTTATGACAATTAAAAAAATTGTATCGTTAAGATCAATATGCAGTCAGAAAGTTTTATAATTACTATTTATTGTAAATTTATCAGAAAAGCTCAATATTTTTTTGCATTTTTATGGTAATAGATAACTTAAATAGAAGTAATAGTAATAATTTCCTAGGAACTTTTGTTGTTTGTTGAAAAGATTCTATAATTGAAATATTGAGAACTTAATTAATTTTAATGATTTACTTTAACTAAATGTACCAATCAAAACAAAGTTGTTAAAAAGATTTACTCAATTGAGTGTATTATAAAATTTGATTATATTTGTAAAAATCAATTGTTAATTCAGGAGAAAAAACAATCATTTTTTTTAGAAATGATTTATATAGCAACATGTTAGAAAAAAATTTGAATATTATAGTCTAATAGTAGCACACACAAACAGAGTAATAAAATTATTAAATTACAAAGTAAAATGATTTAATTTTGTAGTTGAAACCTATCATATCAAACTTCATTCGTTAATAAATATTTTGAAAACATTAGAAATTAATGATTTTAATTGTCTTTATGGAGACGATGTAATAACTAACTGTTTAATTGATAAATTAGAATTTTTTTTTCAATTTTTGAGAGTAATATCTTCAACTAGATACGAATTGTAGTAATTTGACGTATTGTTGAAAAAAGTAGGTCAAGTTAGAGCAGAGAAAATAAATGATAGTCACAAAAAAATATCTTCTCGGCTTTGCATCGAAGCGAAAACTTAAAATATAGTAAAATAATTTTAATACGAATAAGAAATTTCTTCTTGCAAGGGGCGACTAAAGTGATGGGATCCTTGATCTTTATTGAGTTATTGAATCTAAATGAGATAAAAATCAAACGAATTAAAAATTTATACTAACTTAAAAAGAATTAAGAAAAAATGCAAAAAATTTGTTGTCATACGCANGAAAAAATGCAAAAAATTCATTGCCATATGCGGGTTGGAACCTCGTACCCCAAGCGTGTAAAACATAAATTTTACCAACTCGGCAACCGTACGTCACTACCGTCGGGTGAAAAAATAGGCTATTTAAGCTAGTTCAAATTTCAAAGTTATTTTCTCGGCTTAAAAGAAGCAAACAAATTTAAATAAGTTTAACTTTCTATGCTATATTAATTTTTTATTTATATAATATTTATGAAAATCTGTAGTCCCCTTGTCAGGTATTTTAAAATAAAATAAAATACAAAACCCAGAATTTTAACACAAAAATAGCAAATTTTTGAATACGGTAGTCATTTTTACCATGAAGACAAATCCAGAGGTCAAATTTTTTTTTTTCAAATTAAAGTATATTACATAAGCTTTAATTTAAGATATATATAAAAGTGTCAGTATTTCCGGAACATTTTCAAAAGTTAAGTTGAAAAAGTTCTACTTTCTATACGCATTTTAAAAGGTTTGCACCCCCCCTGTATAAAGGGAAATGGTCCGATTTTAAAAAAAAGTATGTCGAATGAAAGAAGTATATATAAAGTATTTATCATTAAAGAATAAAGTTGATTCATGCATTTTTTAAAAAGTTATAGCAACATAATGTTAAAAAATGTAAAATATAATATCAAGAATTTTTTCACAAAAATAGCATATTTTTGCATACGGTAGTCATTTTCACCATGAAGACAAGTCCAGAGGTCAAATTTTTTTTTTTCAAATTAAAGTATATTACATTAGCTTTAATTTAAGGTATATATAAAATTGTCAGTCTTTCCGGAACATTTTCAAAAGTTAAGTTGAAAAAGTTAATTTTTTGTAAAAAAGTTACCATTTTGAAACCCCATCCTTTGGGCTGTTAAAGGGTCAAATGTTCACAAAAATATATAAAATGATAGGTAATTATCTAAGGTATCTATAAAAAAAAAAATTATATTGATTCGGTCATTTTTAAAAAAGTTATGGCAATTTTAAGTAAAAAAAATTGAAAAAATATCGAAAATTAGCGATTTTTAAATTTGTAATTTTTTGGGGGATTTCCCCCGTTTACGGGGAACGAGGGAATTTTTTTCAATTTTTGAGGGTAATGTCTTCGACTAGATACGATTTGTGATCTTTTGACATATTGTTCATCAAAATCGGTCCAGCGAGAGTTGAGATTGAGCGTTCACAGACACAAAAAAAAAAAATTAAAAAAAAAAACACATCATAGTAAAATTAATACCTTCTCAGCTTCGCATCGAAGCTAAAAGTAACGTAAAATATTAACTGGATCAAAAGTTGCCAGATGTCAAAAAAAAAAAAAATACAACATTCTACAGAGTGAATATTGTATCATACATATATTATAATATTATATTAAAAATTTTGATGTAAAATAACTTTATAATTATACTTTTTTCAATCGATAGTACTAATAATATAAATAAAAAAAAAAAAAAAATTTTTTTTTTGTATGTCTTGTTATTATTACCAGTTATAAGATAATTTGGAATAAATGAAATAAAAAATTTTCTTAGTCATTTTAAAATTATATTTTGTAAAACACATTTTGTATTGAAGCTTCTAGTTCGTAAACTATGAAAAAATCGATTTTGTTATAAATAAATTTTACTTTTGAATTTTACACGTTAAATAATAAATTTTATAGAAAATATGTGGATACATTTTTATAAAACATATTTAGATCTAAAACTTTGTTTATGATCATTTTTTTTTTTTGTAGAAGTTATTGAAATAGAAATAAAACACAATAAAATTACCTTATTGGCCCAATTTTCAATTCTCTTGCGGCGTGAAAAAAGTTTAATCAGTTGCGACTAAACTTCACTAAAATTTTTTTATTAAAGTAATAAAAAGAAATTAGGAGACCCGTGCAAAAATGTTTAGATTCATTTTCGAGGACTACACAGATTGATATCTAACAGTAATTAACATCACTATCATAAAATACAAATGCGCTTGTAAAAAGTTAAGTCAAATAATTTTTTAAGGAAAGATATATTTTTATTAAAATGAGTCATAGCCCTCTGAATAAACTTTTATAATAAGACTATACTTTGTGATAAAAAAAATTAAGAACAAAATATTTTGACGTTAAAATTTCAAAAAAAATATATATTAACTTAAATGGTCAGTTTCTTGACAAAACAATTTTTGAGGAATTTTTTTATCGTAGAGTAAATTACACAAAATTATTGTGTATAAATAGATATCATGATTTTCTAAACACTTTCATAAGTTGAATAGAAAATAAAATTTTTACAACAAGATAGGGAAGAGTTGGACACATTTGAATGTGAGGTGGATTTGATTTAATTAAATAAAACTAGTTGTTACAATAAAATAAATTCACAGAATAAGCAGTAGATTGGTTGTTGAGTACCCATCATTTCATAAGTTTATTTTACATGAAGTATGTTTTATTAAAGAAATTTAAATCTTCCCCGCAATCAAATGTGACAAATCTCACCTCAATATTTTTAAAATTTCTAATATACATTATTATTTATTAGTTTTCCAAAAAAGTATATCGATAAAAAACGAAATGTTTATTAAAAAATACAAATAAAAAGTTTAATTGATTAATGTAAGCTTTATTTGTAATTAATAAATAAATATAAATGTATGTCTTCAAAGATAATAAAGTTTCAGTAAATTAAAAAAGATGGATTTTTCCAATTTTTGAAAATAATACCTTCAAATAGATATAATTCAAACTATAAATTCTTAAATGCACCCCTAGTACGGATACAGAAAAAAATACATCTCTAGAAGCTAAAATATAAAATAATTGTTCTAAAAATATAAATTATTAAAAATGTTTTTTTTAAACAAACTAAATAAATTAGTATTCAATCACAATGAATTGTAAATTTTTTAATTCGAAAAACTCAATTACCTTATTTATTTACCATTCAATTCTCATTTAGTATTATAATTAACCTAATGTACAATAGTAATATGATTTTTTTTTTAATGAGGTAAACTCATTTACCTTATTTAATCACTATTCAATTCTTATTTAGTGTCATAATGAACATAATGTTCATTAGTCAAATAATTTTAAGAATAAAGTTTAATTTGCAACTTGAAATTTAATTAAACAACATCATAGCTTAAGAGATATTTAAGTTTTAGAGTATTTTTACATATTTAACGTAATTGATGGACACTACTACTAAAGTAATAATATAAAGAATTCATATTATGATATTACAACTATAGAAGTAATATTTTCAATGGTACCAAATTATAACTGCTATAATACGTTGAAATAATTATCGTCAATTGGGCCAACTTGAAGCGGTGCACAGTGGCCAAAAATCATATTTTGAATATAATATTCAAAATAGAATTCAGTTATTATAACTGAATACATATTATGTATTATAATAATGGGTTAATATATATGTTTTTAGATCCACTACAACTAAATTTAACATCAATTTTAAAATTTGAGTCCTATTAGAAAGTTGTTTTTTTTTAATTAAATCAATTATTTAAATGAGGGATGAATTTTATTTTTTAAACTATCAAATTATAAACTAGAGCTACTTTATTTTCTTTAATTTTATAATTATTATCAGATAAAATATATTTTATGAATGGTTAAATACTTAATAATGGCTTCAGTAAAAGCCACCATTGTAATAATAATTGTTACCATTTTATCATAATAAATTTTATAAATTTCATCATAATTACTATGAAAATTTTAATATATTTTTTAACCAAGATTAAATAATTTATATAATCAGGATATAATTAAGGAAATAAGAGTTGATGTTGGTTTTTGAATAATCCAACAATTCCATTTAAAAATTAAACATTGGAGATTCGCAGCGAAGAGTTTTTCGTGGTAGTGATTTTAATAATTATTAAATATCATTTATACTTGTTCCTACTATACTGCGTACTCAGAACGCTCGATTATTTTATTAAGAAGAATTCACATTTTTGTAATAATTTTTGTAAAAAACGTTATTGAGGTAAAGTGTAAATTAGCTGTAAACAGCGCGAAAGAAACTTTTCAGTTTTTAATTAAAATTTAGGATAAATGATCCTTGCACCATTGACGTTCATTCGAAGTAGAGCTTTATCTGGGAGTGAAAGAATATAGAAGGCTGATAAGAGGATTTGAAAACTGAAATGAAATCTTTTGTAGCGGAGGATAGCAGTTTCTTTGACATATGCTAAATTCAGATTTTTGTGAACAGTCTCATTAGATGCTGTAGTAAATAGCTGGGGCACTACCGACGTACGACAATGCTTATGGTGGTGCTTGAAAGATTAGACTTAGAATCTAATGTTGAAATTTTTTTTGATATTTGAATTTTTGTGGATTTCATAGGTTTTTATTATAGGCTCGTATAAAGTTATTTTAATGTTTATATTAGTTATGGAAAATTTGCCTATCAAAATATAAAAATTTCTTAAGTATTTGTTAAGTATTATTATTTTAGTGTGGATATGACTAGACCACGTGAGACATCTATCTAATGAAAAACCTATGTATTTAATTCTATAGGCGATCGAAATAGAAGTACTATTAATGAGCACTTGAATGTACAGTGATCTAAAATTCAATTTTGCAGGACAAAATTATTGTATGACAAAATTTCTACTTTTGAGTAAAAAAAAGTCGATAAAAATGTTTTTGAGGTGGCTAAATTAACTATCAACTTATTAAATGCAGTTCTTATATTTAATTAGTGACATTATAAAATTTAATTTTGTCCGCCTAAAATAAATTTGTATAACACTCTTAGGTGGTTTATTTTTGTGGAGAGTTAAATTATCGTGTAATGTCTCGCTAACTTTTACATGCAATGTTGACACTAATTAATTATAATATCAATATGCAATTACACTTGTAGTGATGAAATATTGATATCATAATGAACAGATATTATTTCTTTTATCTGCTATTTGAGTAGACTTCCACTGGCGTGCTATAGTAGTAGAATATAAATTTTATAATAAGATCTTAATTTTTTTGTTTATGGTCATTATAATGAAATAAATATCAATACTAAAAATTTGTTTTAAAAGAGAAATGAAATAATTTGTAAAAATAATTTTTCCCAATGCAAGATTCATCACTTTGTACAACCTATTATTACTAATTTTACTGATAATTCAAAAGTTATAAAAGTATACTAAATGTTAAAACTCCACTAGGCCGCGATGGTCACAGGGGCAGACCTGGTAGAGATGGAGAACGAGGAACAACTGGTCCACCTGGCGTTAAAGGAGAACCAGGAGTCTCGGGAGTCGTAGGTAAATAAATTAATAATATTATGATTTTTATTTCTAAAACCAAATTACTAACATTGAATAAATGTCTAAAGTGTGTTGTAAGTGAAAATTTTCACTAAATGTAAAAAATGTATTAATAAAATTAAAAAAAAAAAAAAATTTAAATAGATATATTTTGTGGCTATCTTAATATTTAATTGCATAACATATAAAACTAATTAAATTAAAATAACGTTCGATAAGTATTGGGACTAACTAAGAAAACAACATTTCTTTCGCAAAATTCATTTATAGTCATCAACATGATCACTTTCAAGTACAATACAATTATTCCAACACTTTTTTAACTTTTGTATACCATTTTCGTAACACTATTTGTTCTTGTCCTCAAAATAAGCTTCAGTTGCAGCAATTAATTTTTCATTCTAACCAAATATGTTTCCCTGGAGTATCTTTTTGAGATCAGTAAAGAGCCAGTAGTCACTGGAGGCATGATCCGGAAAGTATGGTAGATAGGGAAATAGATTGAAGCTCATATCATTCAATTCGCTATTGCTTTAATTGTGGCACGGTTCATTGTCTTGATAAAATATTATTTTTTTCTCCTTTATGTGCGGTCATTTTTTGCGATTACGTCCTTTAAACAAACTAATAGCTCAATGTAATAGTCGCTATTGATGGATTATTCCTTCTCAAGTTAGTCAATGTAAATTATACTGTGCGCATCCTAATAAATTAAAGTAATGACTTTGTCAGCTGACTGTGGCATTTTCAGACGTTTCGGACAGCTTTCGTTGGCTACACGCCACTCAGTTGACTGCCGCTTCGACTCCAAAATAAATTGTTGAATCCACGTTTCGTCTATTGTTACATACCGACACATATGATACTGTTTAGTGCGAATAAACAGTGACAAACAGCTTCTGAATCTTCGACCCGTTATTTTTATTCCATTGTGAGCAAATGCGGCACCCATTCGGAAAAGACATTTTCCACGCCCAAGTTTTCGTGTAAAATCGTTTATGCATTTTCAGTAATTATGTTTACCATCTACGGACTATCATTTTGTACTTATCCATTACTTTTTTCATAACTTTTTTAATAACTACTGGAGTTACTGCTTTATTTAGCCTATCCGAGTATTCCGCATCATTTGTATCAATGCGATCGCGTTTGCAATCAACTTACCAACGAAAAATCGTTTAGGACTAAGCAGAGTTCGGATAACATTTTTCAAGTCATTGCTAAGTTTGCATGGTATTTTTTCCCATTAAAAAGCTATTTTTTATCCACACACGAAACTCGTTATTTTAAATTTTTGATACAAATGCAAAAGTAGCGTCAATAATACTGCGGCAGCTTTGTAGATTAGAGTCTGATTGACGTGGAAATCAGACACATGTCACTTGAAGGTTAGTTCTTTCGAATAACAAAGTGAATTTGATATTATTAACGCCATCTTTGGGTTAGTCCCAGGACTTTTTGAACGATATGTTAGTATACAATTTAAACAAAAACTTAATCAATTAAAGAATTATTAGAAATTTTATCGACAAGTAGTGTAGGTTTGGTTATTTATTTTTTCTTATATAAATAATTGTACAAAAATATATAATCATCACCTCCGAATGAAAAGTTTCTAACGCAATTCTAAGAAACTTTTTCAGTCTAAGGTGATGTGAATTAACTATAATTAAAGCAGCTTATTATTATAATAATCTAATAATATGAAATAAATACTTATTAAATACTATATTTTTTTCGTAATCAACGAATGATATAATAAGATACAAAAACATCCAATCTTTTATATTGGAATACTAAAACGATCAAAATTTTTAATTTTAAATATTTGAAAATTTACAACATCATGGGTTAACGCATAGTATTAACATTTCTAACCTCTATAACTACATTTTAAACTTATAACTGAGTTCAAATTTAATGAAAGATGAATTATTTCTGTCCAGGCTTACCAGGAGAAAAAGGCGATCGAGGATTTCCAGGTGATGTTTAAAATTTAATAACACTTGAAGTTCCTTAATTCTATTTTTATAATTTACATTTTATACAGAGCAATTCATTTATATGAATCACATAATTAGTCGAATAAAGAAATTAATATTGAGAATTCTATTTTTTTTTTTGTTTCTTTTTGATATAGGTTTTTTAACTTATCAATCATGAAGTATTTTTTGCATTCATTTCTTATACTTTAAAAAATATTATTTTTTTGGACACAAGAAAATGAAATTACGATAATTATCAGAACTGCAATATGCTTCATAAATTACGTGCGCTTTTTTTTTAATGCAACATTTATAAGTTCTTGAGCAACTCAAATATAAAAAAAATTGAATGGAATGGTTTTAGTTATTGGAACATGTATTAATAATGAAACATTTAGAGCATCTTACAGAGCAGAAGCTATAGAGTTTACATTTAAATTAGACAATGTTTTAGCCTAATTAAAGGATAAAAGGGACTCAAATGTAGCTGAGTAATGGGCTATTATAAAATTTAAGGAAGAGTGATTGAAAATTAATTCTGGAAAATAAATAATAGTAAAATAATCGTAGACAAAGCAGGATGATAGAGATCCTCAGTAACTACAAGAAAGCAAGAAGTACTAACTCAAAACTAATTATTACAGACAAAAATGCGGCTTATTAATAATGACCCAAATGAGTTAAAACATAATAAGCCTGAATAGTTATAAACAGCAAAATTCTCAGGGATACAATAAAATGTCAAGGAGTAGGAAAAAGAAATAATGAAGCAACGAATCATTTTGTCATGATATATTAGATATATTGAAATCACTACAAAAAATAAAATTATAATCAGTATATGATTTTTACTTGTCTTCAATAGAGGAAATAATCAAGTAAAGGAGAATTCGGAAGCAGGTAAGTATCACCAAATACAAAATTTTGTCTATTAACTATAAATTATACAAACAGCTGCTTATTATTTTTTACTGATATAACATGAGAAAATAAATTATTAGTCTTAGTTACAAACTCAGATGAAAAGGTACTACATGTTGGACAATTTGTGCCTATTACTAATTTATTATCAGCTTTAGGAACACGAGTATTTTTAAGAGAAATATTTGAATGTATATATTGGAATTTACTAGTATATCCTTATCGCTGTCAATACTGTCAATGACAAAGTCGACGGTTTCCATGTATAACGAAGAACAGGGACCATGTAACTCTGTGATTGATAAATTATAAAAAAAAATGTACTTAAAAGAAACAAAAAAAATATATTATTTTATTTTTTGATTATTCAAGTAGTTCATGACAAATGAATAACCCTATATAATATTCATGCATATTTTTGGAATAATTCCATCATATATTTTATTTTTAGGCCAAATTGGTGAAGCTGGTTCTCGAGGAAATGATGGACCTCGAGGAGAAGAAGGTCCTCAAGGAATAGCTGGTATACCGGGAGAAATGGTAATATTTAAATTTTTAATGTTTTTTTAGCAATTCGATTTTTTTGATATGAAACTGAGAAGGTTTTAATTATACTACAACGGTTCATCAAAAGATCACAAAACGTATCTAGATAAACATGGTAACGCGATCATTAAAAAAAATTTCTCACGATCTTCGTAAACAGAAAAGTCCCCTACATATGTATTTTTTTAGATTATGCTACAGGCATATTTTTATTATTAGTAAAAAAAAAAATTATTTTTAATTTTTAACCCAACTTAAGCAAACCAACCGCTGTATCCTATTACCTATACTAGTACTTAATCAAATCTTGCTAGTGATACTAAAGTTTCCCTGTATTCAAGGACTAGCATTTAAGTCACCTGATTATTAGTAAATGCCTTCAAAGTGACTTGAATATCTTTTAGGATAATTATGTTCCATTTCTCTAATACTAGTAGGTTCTGGACTCTTATTAATATTGCCATTAACTCTGATTGGAACATAATTGAAGTTATGCCCATGGACATGCTGAGATTTATGTGAGGTTTTAATTCATAAATGCCAGCACGTACCTATCCTGATTTTTTGGAGCTAACTGTATAAATTACAAACCCTCCTTTCCTAGTCAGATGGTTTATATTTTATTCCTTACGTGTTAAGATTACAACTTTGTTGGGAGTATTATTTTAGAGAACAGGTTTGTATCAATCCAAGGGATATACAATATACTCTGCCCTAACTATTTTAGTGTTTTACAATGTTTTATGGTGTCGTTATCCATAGTTTACATATCTAAGGTTTGGTTAGTTTGAGTTGAGTTGGGTTTAGTTAAATTATATATTGACTATCTTTAAAACAGTCTTTTGTATGTTAAATTCAATTTAGTTGAGTATAAAATTTTATTTATAAATATAGTTTGAACTGTGGATTAGAGTATGTTAGACAATGTAATTGTCTTCAATTAGATTTCTCTAAGACAAAGGTCTTACAACATCTTTGTTGAATATTTTGTTACAAGTAGTTGATTTATTAACAAAAACATAAAAAAGTTTTATATAATAAATAATAATTATAATAAAATGAAAACAAAGGAAATGTTAAAAACATTATTACAATAAAAAAATTTTTAATAAATTTTTATTGAAGTCAAGTTTAAATTTTTTTAAATTTGAATAATTTATAGAAAATATTTTGTTGGAATCAAACTACGTAATTTTTGGTATTCATAACAGAACCATAGCGATCTATTTAGTAAAGCACATCACACACAAATGCTTTTATATTACTAACAATTTTCAGATAATAATAATCAATAAAACTGTATTTCACCAGCTTGTATAATTTACATTTCTCACTGTACAAACAAATTTAATTTAAGTTATAAGCTCCAAATTAGATTAGGTCATATAAATAAATACAAAATATTTTGGTTTTAAAAGAATTTCTATTTGAAATTAGGCTGTTGAATATCCTTAAATTTTAATAATCGTACTTGTAAAATACTTCCTGAAAATTCTTTTTCTTCTTCTTTTTTCTTACCTTTATCCTAACTACTTAGGGTCGGCCACCCTTATCCTAAATTTCTACTTGACACATTTTTCCAAATCTTTAATAAAAGTTGGTATGTTCATTATGGCTAACATAATAGTGTAAATAATATTTAGATTTTTACAAACGTGCATTATTTTAGAATATCGACTTGATATAAGTTCTACGTACCAAAATGAAAGGCCAATAAGTTATACATAGATATTGCTTATTTGTAATAATCAATTTTTAATATAATTTGACTCTTAGCTTATTTTAGCATTTTAATATTTGTACTATTTTTAAGTTAAACCCTTTATGTGATATTTTATTATAAACTACTTTAATTTACACAAAATAATACCACCTAGAGCTTAAGAAATATATGTGGTTCATATTAAAAAAAAATAATTTTAATAAAACTAATATATTCTTAATTTTGCATCATACCTAAACAAATTATCTATTGAACTTTTTATTTAATGAATTTCTAGTTATTTTTAAAGGGGTCTCATTTATATTAGAATAATTTTTAATTAGTAGCTTATTTATTAAATGAAATAAGAAAATATCAATTATATAAAAAAGCTGTCTTAAATTTTTTTTTAAAAATAATAATTAAATGAACAATTTTTACTATGTTTAGGGTCCAAGAGGATTTTCAGGACCACGTGGATTTCCTGGTTTACCAGGTCCTCCTGGTGTACCTGGATCTGAAGGCCCCGCAGGTATAATTAATTATTTTTTTTTAATAATAAATTTAGCATATTTAATGTAATATACTTGATTGTATACTTTAATGTAATTACTTTTAGAGATTGTCAATAAATTAAAAATAAACTTAAATATGGGGTATCAAAAGATATATTTATTAAAAATTATAATGGATATTTCTTACTCTTAGCTTTATTTTTGATGTACAGAGTGATTGGTTTATCATGAGCTTGTCAATTACTCGTAAAATAAATATATTATTGAAAAAATAACTTGTTTTTTTTAATGGAAATATACATATTTAACTAGTTTATTTAATATATAATAATCTAATTAAAAATATGAATGGTCGATAACAATTTTAGGACCAACACTTAAGAAGTTATTTTTATTTTTATACTAAAGCGGAAATAAGAGTGCCTCCGAAAAATGTGTAATGATTAAAATAGCAGAAACTGCGCTTTACCTCAATCTATATTTTAAATTGTTAACCTTGCTTTAAACTCACATTTAAAAATGACAATAACTTCTGAAATACTAGTATAAAATTTATTATCGAAGAGACATTTTATTAATTAGATCATTATCTACTGATGAGATAGTTACATATGTATATTTAACAAAAATAAAGTTGATACGTCTATAAGTAATAGTTAATGATTCTAAAACATAATTAATATCTTATACGGCGAAAAGAATATGTAGCTAAAAAATAAAATGAATTATTTGATCAATGTTATATATACTTTACGAAAAATGGCCCGTTTTATAACAGGTTGATCACCCTATATATATATAAATTGTGTTTCATTACACATATTTCTACTTAATAATATAATAAAAAAATTGTTAGGAACCAAAATAATTTAGCTTTTTGTCTGTTTTTCCTATAACTATGTACATTAATTAATCATTTAAATTTAACAATTCTATACCAATTGATGGATTCTTTTTTTTAATTAATATTATTAATATAATATTGGTATTTCTACATCAAAATAAAAAACAATTAATATGGAAAAATCTGTAAGTTTTAACGATTGTGTCTAGGTTAAATCCAACTACTCAATTGCTAGTTGAGTGGTCAAATAATCACAATCCTTCTCTAATTAGTATCTTCGACTCTATTGAAACTTTTTTTTTATTAATGTATAATGGTAAATTTAAATTTAAATTGCAACTTCTTATAGTATATTAATATCAACTTATATTATTTATAGGACCAAAAGGAACTACAGGAAATACAGGTAATTTAAATTAAAAAGTGACATCACTGAAATAAAATTTAAATGCTATACATCTTTCACTGGGATGTCTTAAGTTTCAAATCATAAACATTATTAATTAATGTTAATTAAGACTATTGCGTTCTAATATATTACTTAAGAGGAGGACATTTAAGAAAAACTTAACCTAATTAAAAAATATAAATAAATCATATCTGTTGCTTAAATAAACCACAGATTAACTTAAAACTGATGTGCAATTCAAAAATTTATTCATAGAGATAAAACATTAAAAATTTCATTGGTTTCACTTACAAATAGACATTTTTGATATAAAAAAAAATCAAGCCTTTGCGATATTATTGCATCGTAATTATTATGTACGTAACAAATAACATTTTGCTTTATGAAAAACTCAAAAATCCAATTGTTTGACATATCAGGTTTTTAAAAATTACCTTTCCCTATGGATAGGGGATAAGAATACTTCTACGGCCCCTCTGCCAGTCGTAAGAGGCGACTAATGAGGTTGTGTCAGGTCGATAGCCGGCGTAAAAATCTTTGTCAAATAAGTATGAGGAATCCTGAACAAAACTTAAGAGGATTATTGTGTCAAGTGGAAGTTTAGGATAAGGGTGACCGACCCCAAGTAGTAGGGATTAAGGCGAGGAAGAAGAAGAAGAAGAGCTTTTTAAAAATTACCATAAATATATTTTTCAATATATTATACTGAAAAATATGATTCATCAATGCATTTTATTATTAGGAAATCTTGGTCCTCCAGGACAAATTGGTCCTACCGGCCCAATTGGAAGCACAGGACCTCCAGGTGCATTGGGCCCTCCTGGTAATCAAGGTTAGTATTAAAGATAACTCATTAATAAGAATTAAATTTAAAAAAATTGTAATTAGTTATAAGTAAATTAGTAAATAAATATATTTTTTATAAATAATTATTTCAAATTTATACAAATAAATAAAATAATTTTTTAATGTATAATAGTCTTAAACCGAAAATAAACAAATGTCAAAATAAAATACAATCCAAAAGAATAAGGTCTCGACACCATTCAAAAAATTTCTAAACAATATTATAATTATAAGGCTAAACTAATAATTATAAGATATCTGGAAACTCCACTTCGGAGTAATAGCTACAATTTCGTTGGTCGGTTCGAATTCTATTATTGATGTTCATTTTCGGTAATATAGCTTAAAATTAATTAGTTTTATGTTTTGACTCAGATATTTTAAATACCATAGTCTTCCCATAGCTTTTTCCATAACTCATGTAATCTTTCTGGATTAACGGTTTTGTATTATATAAGATACCTTAATTAAAGCATTTTATTTGGGTGCTAAAATATAAATATGGACTGACAGGTTTGTATTTTCTCAACTTATTTAAGTGTGAAAAATGCCGCTAGTTTCCTACGAATTTCTTATAGGCGAATGTTAAATAGGACAAGAAGCTATTATGCTTTTAGGCTTTTCATTGCAAGTTATTATTCTCATGAATTCATTTAATGGAACATCAATTTTTTGTTAGTGAACAATTCTCGTCTAGACTGGAGCACAATAATATGCTACATTAAGCATAAAAGGTTTATGAATATTTCTATTGCAGTCCCACCTCGACCTAGAGATTGGGATGTAGAGATATTGTTTCTAGTTTTTAATTTTTTTTTTTATTAAATTAATATTAATATTGGTAAATCAGTGTGACTAAATAGCTAAAATTAAATTATGTTAACCTATACCAAAATTTAATAATAATTAATGAATTTTTTTCTCAAATTTAAATACTCGTTTGACATTTAGTAGATATTTAAGTTTTAAGTATATTTTAATAATATATTTATGAATAATTCCATATATATTTTTTTAAATATACTATTATTTGTCATTACAACTACAGTAAAAATAATAAAATTACCTATAAAAAAATAGCTACCAATTTTTTTTTAATATTACACCAATGTTCAGGCCTATTACAGCAATATTGTTTATTTTTGACTAAACGGTTTTTCTACCTCTCGATTATTTAGATGAAAAGCTATAGGTATAGTCTTATTAGACTCTATATAATGTTTAATATTATTTGTCAAAGAACTTAATTAATTTTATTAAACCCTTGTCAAGTAACTTGTCTAGTTCTTAAAAATACTATTATCACAATTTTTACAATATCATTAATATTTCATTTAATTTAAAATTCAAATTTTCAACATAAAATTAAGTTTTTTGTGTTCGTAAATTATGTTTTAGCATTATAACTATGGATAATTTTCTAGAAAATATTTTTTTTAACTATATGAGTGTGGCGTAGTGTAGTGTAGTGTCAACGGTGTAGGGACATCGCCACTTAACTTTAGGCGTTTATAAGGGAGAAAGATAGATATAAAGTAAGAATAGGTACTTGGACTGTTGGAACATTAACTGGTAGAAGTAGAGAATTAGTAGAAGTATTGAAAAGGAGAAAAGTTAACATTTGTTGTGTGCAGGATATAAGTGGAAAGAAGAGAAATCAAAAGAAATAGGTGAGAGTTATAAAATAATATACTCAGGTAAGTCTAGTACAAAGAATGGTGTAGGGATAATAAGAGATGAGGAGATGAAAAGTAGAGTAGTAGAAGTGGCTAGGAAAATTGACAGAATTATGGTCGTAAAATTGATATTCGAAGAAAAAGTGCTGAATGTAATAAGTGCCTATGCACCACAAGTGGGATGTGATGAAATAAACAAGGAAGTGTTTTGGTGAGAGATGGATGAGGTGAGGTAAGGGGTACCTGGAAATGAGGATGCGGTGATAGATAGAGATATGAATGGACATGTAAGTAATGAGAGGAGAGGATATGAAAGAGTACATGGAGGGTATGGTTTTAGTGTGAAGAATGAGACTAGAGAAAGAAAACTAGATTTTGCAGTATCGTATGATCTTGCTGTGGTTAATATTTATTGTAGAAAGAGGTAAGAACATTATATAACATATAAGAGTGGGAGGAATAGATCACAGATCGATTATTTTATGAGGAAGAGAGAGCGTAAAGCGAGTAAGGGATAAGAATACTTCTACGGACCCAGTAGTAAAAGGCGACTAAGGAGGTTGTATCAGGTCGACAGCAGGCGTAAAAATCTTTGTCAAAAAAGTATGAGGAATCCTGAACAAAACTTAGGCAGATTGTTCCATCTCGGATGTACGCGAGGACAACAGAAAGTAGTTAAAAACGGCGAGGGCCTAAGGAAACACTCTCGAGTGATGATGATGTGAAAAAAAGGTGGAAAGAGTATTTTGAAAAATTATTGAATGAGGAGTACCCAAAAGAGACAATTAAGGATATCTCATGGAATGAGAGACTGGTAGATTTAATTAGTGAGAAAGAGATATCGGAGGCTGTGGAATCAATGAAAAAGAATAAAGCAGTGGGACCAGATGAAGTGCCAGTAGAAGTAAGGAAAATATTAGGCGGTGTTGGCATAAGGTGGCTGAAGGAACTTTTAAACAAAATCTTATTAGGAGGAAAAATACCAAATGAATGGAAGAATAGTATTGTGGTGCCGGTATTTAAAGGTAAAGGTGACATACAGGAGTGTGGAAATTATAGAGGCATAAAGCTTATGAGTCATAGTATAAAAATTTAGGAAAAGGTAATAGATAAGAAAATAAGAAAATGAGAAATGAAACATCGATATCTAAAAACCAGTTTGGATTTATCCCTGGTAAGTCAAAAATGGAGCCCATATTTTGTGTGAGGCAACTTATTGAAAAGTTTAGAGAAAAGAAGAAAAAGCTGTGTATGGTATTTATATACCATACGCGTATGACAGAGTACCAAGAGAGGTTTTAAAGTGGGCATTAATGAGAAAAGGAGTCCCGATAAGGTACATTAATATAATAGAAAATGTGTATGATGGCACTTGTACCAGGGTAAAAAGCGTAGGAGGATTATTAGAAGGTTTTTAGGTAATAGTAGGAGTGCACCAAGATTCTGCTTTAAGCCCTTACTCTTATTCTCTATAGTGATGGATGAAATTACTAGAGAAATACAAGGATTGGTGCCGTGATGCATGTTGTTTGCTGACGATATAGTGTTAATAAGAGAAAATAGGGGAGAAATTAATCAAAGGCTATAGGTATGGAGATCAACTCTTGAAGAAAAGAGTTTAAGAATAAGTAGAAGTAAGACAGAGTATATAGAGTATGAGTTTGACAAAGGAGAACACGAGGTAGGTGAAATGAGTAGGTCAGTGACAATAGGCGAGGACGTGATTGGAGAGGTATACAGCTTTAAGTATTTAGGATCAGTTGTGCAAAAGAGCGGGGGTATTGACGAGGATGTAAGATACAAGATTAAGTGCGGGTGGTTAAAGTGGAGAGAAGCGTCTGGTGTATTATACGATAAAAAAATTCCAATGAGGCTGAAAGATAAATTCTATAAGACTGTAGTGAGACTAGCTATAACGTGTGATTCAGAGTGTTGGGCAGTTGACAAGAGAAAAGTGTAAAGAATGAGTGTAGAAGAGATGAGAATGTTTAGATGGACGAGTGATAAGACTAGAAAAGATAGGATAAGGAACGAACATATAAGAGGAAGTACAGGTGTAGCGTCAATCGTGGATAAGATGAGAGAAAATAGATTTATACATCGGCATATGCCATAGTGTAATATTATAGAGTAATATTGTATGAATTTATGGAACAAGCTACCATGTTAACTTTACCATACGTCATAATATATCAAATACATAAAATTTATTTATAAATAATGTTTGTTGAAAGAAAGTGATAATACAACAGACAGTCGTGCGAGAGTAAAAAAAAACAATTCACATAGTAACCCATATTTTGTAAGACTGTAGTGAGGCTATCTATGATGTATGGTTTAGAGTGTTGGGCGGTTGATAAGAAAGTAGAACAAAGAATGAGTGTAGCAGAGATGAGAATGCTTAGATGGATGAGTGGAGTGACTAGAGAAGATAGGATAAGGAACGATCATATAAGAGGAAGTATAGGTGTAGCGTCAATCATGGATAAGATGAGAGAAAATACACTTAGATGGTTTAGTCATGTTATGAGGAGAGAAGAATCGGAAACTGTAAGAACAGTTATAGAAATGAATGTTGGAGGAAGAAGAGGTAGAGGAAGACCAAAAAAGAGATGGAGGGATGCTATTGAATGCGATTTGAGGACAGCTGATGTGAGCGTAGATGATGTGAGAAATCGTGTCAAGTGGAAGTTTAGAAGAAGGGTGGACGACCCCAAGTAGTTGGGATTAAGGCGAGGAAGAAGAAGAAGATATGAGTGTAGTGTTAAAATATAAATTAATAAAGAATGTTTAAAAGATGTTCATTTACTAATAAAGTCATTCTACTAATGAAATAGACAAAAATTTCCCCAAACTATAATTTTAAAAGAAATCTAGTTATCAATGATATATAATCATCAATATTTCATATATATTTTGGATTTTCTTATTTTAATATTCGTGTATATTTTTACAGGTCCTCAAGGAAAACCTGGGTATGTATATAAATATAATCATTTATATATATATATATATATTAAGTATTTTGAAGATAAAAAAACTATAAAATCACCAAGAGTTAAAAATTTTTCATTTTACAATTCATTAATACTTTTTTTATTAGTTTTTAACAAAAAAAAAAAAACTTAATTTGTTATACATAACTACATTTTATTTTTCGATCGCTTATTTAGATCATTTAAGGCCGTTGACGTATCTTCCAAAGAAAAAGCGTTTTTTAACTTTTAATGCACTAAATGTGTTGGTAAGTCTGTTAATGGAAAAATAGATATTAACTCAAATTACTAATATTATCTCTCACTCAACAATTGTAGCTACCGTGACTGAATAACATACCCGTTAATTGTACGCTAGCGGTTCAGACACACTGTTCCTTTATTGACTCAATAAATATATATATACATCTTGTATATATATCTTTGATAATTTTGTTAAGATTTTAAATCTTATATAATGTATCACTAATACATCCTATAAAATGTTTTGATTTAGACTTCCAGGATTACCCGGAGTAGATGGAGCACCTGGTCATCCAGGAAACACTGGTATTTAAATGATTATGTATTTAAATAAACTTATGTTTTAATATTACGTAAATATTAAACAAAATGAATGTACTGGTTAGGAATAGCAGGTTCAAAAGGTGATATTGGTCCACCAGGTGCACCAGGTTCAGTTGGTTTTCCAGGATCACGAGGAGTAAAAGGTGACATTGGTGTTCGAGGTTTACCAGGAGAAAAAGGTAGACTAGATAGAGCTTATTTTAAAAATCATATAAAAATATAGGATTAATGCAATAAATTGCTAATTAAGCTGATTGATATAAAAAATAAAATCAATTTAACCTGAACATTTTTTTAGGCGACAAAGCTGAACGAGGCGCTGATGGAGAAAAAGGGGATCAAGGTGTTAAAGGTTTGTACTACTCTTTTCAAATAACTATTTTTAAAAATTATATTTATAGTAATATGACGGTTTTTTTTAATGCATTGGGAATTATGTATAAATATGATATTTTAATTAGTTAGTATTTCGCCTCTTCCTCATCCTTCATTCAGATCTATAAATTCTAAAATAATTTTAGAACAATTATTCATAAATACTAAGTAACCAATATGTATATTTAATGAACTCAATCCATTTTATACAAATGGAGTTCGAAATTCTTTCTACATTTATAGTTATATTAAATTAAAAACTACGTTGTTAATTTCACAATCGTTTTTAGTTCTACATTGTCCCTTCCACACTACTGATATGAAAATTTGCTTCAAAAATCAGACACACGAAATTCATTTGTTAAGTTGAGTTTTAACTGATACGCTATTAGATCACATTAAAATTAAATGTGAATATTTCCTTATAATTTTATAGAAATATTAGTAATTATATAAACATAGAAATCTTTATATTTTTCATAAAATAAATTTTATACGTATATTAAATGTGTATAATACATGTATATTACTGTGATCATAAGTCTTGTTTTTAAAAAGGACGCATTTATTCCTGCTTTTCGCGACTCTGCTGTTTTAATCTTGATATTATACACATTTTTCATCAAAAAGCTATTTTAGCGATTATTTTCTAAATACATTGTTAAAATTAAAATAAAAATATAGTGTAATCATTTATTTTACTGTCGAGTAAAACAATTATAATTTATTCTGATGTAGTATTATAAAATAGCAGACTGCTATGTGAATTGTTTTTGTGAACATTTGCGTGACTGTCTATTGTATTATATTTGTTGTCTATTTTATTTTTACTGGAATAAATTATTAATATATAGTAGTTAAATATTATTATTAACTCCTTCCTTTCAACAAGGTTATAGACCCAGATATTTGGTGTGCTAAACAAAGATTTTTATTTATTCTGTTTTAATTATTCTGAAAAAGTGCAGTATGTAGTAAGTGCTTTGTGCGATTTTTTTGTGTGTTCGAGTGCAGATATTATGTAACACAAATATTTAAATTTTTTATTGCAATAATTTGTTTATTTTAAAATACAGAAAGTGTATTGAAAATTAGTTATCTATAATGGATAGTGAATCTATAAAAATAAACAAATTAATTGGTGCATCTAACTGGCAACAATGGAAATTTCAGATGAAATTACATAATGACTTCATGTAAAATATTTGTTGTAAATTCTGGTAGAGTAAAGAAACCAAATCTAGTAAGACGAAGTGATAAGACAGAAGGTAATGCTCGACAAAGAAATAATGTCGATTATTCAGATTGGAAAAAGGCAGATAATAAAGCTCAGAAATACATCGTATTCCATAGTCGGTGGATAGCAACCGTTACTGTATATAAAGAATTGTGATAAGGCCAGAGAAATATAGGGAAAATTGCTTAGTATATACGAGAAGAAGTCAGCAATCAATATTTCTATGTTACAAGAAAGATTCTACAAATATGTTATGGATCTGGCAGATAGTATGACTGGTCACATATAAAAACTGGAACATTTGAACATAAAATTGAAACGGTTAGGTGAACTAATTTCCGAGTTAATACTGATGACAAATATATTGATGACTTAACCAAACACGTATAAACATTTTTACAGTGCGTGGGATTTCATGTTAGATGCAAACAAAACATTTGAGAATTTGACATCACATGAAAAATCTGGAAAGTACAACTTCTGTAAACGTGAAGGTCATTGGAAACGCGTATTTGTAAGTAGTAAAAATAAACATTTATTAAATGTTGCTATTTTTGTAGACGATAGACTAATGATAGCAACAAGTAACGACTTGGTGAACAAATTGATGATATACTTAAAGGATAATTTAAAGATGAAAGAAAGTAATCTAGATCAATTCTTTGGTATTATTGAAATTTATCATAGACCAGACGGGTTGGGTTTATGAAAATTGTAACACCAAATATTTTACAGCAAACAAGTATTACAGAAATTCAACATTTTTTTTTTTTTTTTCCACCGCCGGCATAATGTGGACCGCCCTGGAACTACCGCGAGGTATTGCTTCAGGGCAACAGAAATTCAACATGGAGTTGGCAAACCCAACATCAGTTCTTGTAGACCTTCAACATTGGCTAGATGCTAGTTAGTCAGATTCGCGACAAGCAGAGAGAGTGTTATATCGTAAAGCAGTTGGCAGCTTGTTATATTTGAGTCAGGTAACAAGATCTGATATAACACATGCGGTTAATATTGTCAGTTGGTATCTCGAGAAAACGCAGAATATACAATGGAATGCGGTTAAACCTATATTTCAGTGCTTAAAAGGTACAGTTAATTATGGTCTATTTTATAATTCCAGTGCTAAACTTGAACTCGTGGAATACAGTGATGTTGATTACGCTGGGGATACAGTCACGAAAAAATTAACATCAAGTGCTATATTCATGATGGGCTATGGAATAAAAGCTTAGGGTTCGCAAAGCCAAAAATCAATAGCACTATCATCGACTGAATGAGAATATATAGCTTTAATTAGGCAGTACAAGAACTTTCATAGTTGTCGCTACTAATAAGTGACTTCCTGTAAACACAGGGAAGTACACCTATTATGTAAGCAAATAATCAAAGCGTACTTAGATTAGTAAAGAACCAAGAATTCCATAAGAGAATTAAACAAATTGATGTAATGTATCATTACATATGTGATAAATACACTGAAGGTTTGTTTATGTTAGAGTATGTATGCAGAATAAAGCAACTGATAGATATCATGACAAAAATTACGATTGACGCTACACCTGTACTTCCTCTTATATGTTCGTTCCTTATCCTATCTTTTCTAGTCTTATCACTCGTCCATCTAAACATTCTCATCTCTTCTACACTCATTCTTTACACTTTTCTCTTGTCAACTGCCCAACACTCTGAATCACACGTTATAGCTAGTCTCACTACAGTCTTATAGAATTTATCTTTCAGCCTCATTGGAATTTTTTTATCGTATAATACACCAGACGCTTCTCTCCACTTTAACCACCCGCACTTAATCTTGTATCTTACATCCTCGTCAATACCCCCGCTATTTTGCACAACTGATCCTAAATACTTAAAGCTGTATACCTCTCCAATCACGTCCTTGCCTATTGTCACTGACCTCCTCATTTCAACTTCTTCGTGTTTTCTTTTGTTAAACTCGTTCTCTATATATTCTTACTTATTCTTAATCTCTTTTCTTCAATAGCTGATCTCCACGCCTCTAGTCAATTAATTTCCTCCTTTTAATACTTTGCCGACAGCGAACAACATGCACCACAGTACATGCTGGGTAGAATGTGGCAATACAATATGTAGTTTAATTTAATCTCTTGTCATTAATAATTTAAGTAGAACTATGACTTGGATAATAAGTATTTTTTTATAAAATAATCTGAGTAAAGATAACACTTCATTTTATTTTACAAAAAATAATTTTTGTATGAGTACAAAGAACTGTTTGAATTCCATATTTTTTTTACTTTTCTAAGAACTATTATATTTACCAATTATATTAAAAATTAATTTTTATGTGTTTATAGGGGAGCCTGGAATAGCTGGATCATCAGGTCTTGTGGGTATTGAAGGACCTGAAGGACCAAAAGTAAATATCCATCACAATATCAATTTCAAATAAAAATAATATTTTATTGATGAATAATACTAAACCTTTTGCCAGTATTTTTTATTACTTTAATATACTTTGTGTTACATTATTGAGACTAAAAGAAATAATATTGTAAGTATGCATTCATATTTTATAGGGATCAGAAGGACCTCGAGGTGAGAGCGGCAGTATTGGAGCACAAGGTGAATAGAACTTCTAATTTATCATTCATTAGTTTTTAGTCTTAGTTTTATGTTCTAATAAAAATGGAGTTTGAATATCTCAAACTAAAAAATCATTAAAATATAACTTTACTATTTTAATATACATATTATATCGGTGCTTGATATTTAAAGCATTTATAAAGTTTGTTTTAGTCATATTGTGTACATCAATAAATATTCATGTTTGTTTTTGTTAATACTAAGCAATGTAAATTAGTTATGCAATTAGTTTCGATGGTGTGGGTTATAAATTCCCACTATAGAACAAAAAATATTCCTGTGGTGCTGTTTATATCTTTGATAAATTTTAACAAATTCAGGTATTGCGGAAGTGTCCCAAAGAAATTTTTAAAATCCCAAGCTTTTTTTAAACTTTAAAAGTCCTAAACCCTGTACGTTATACGTGGGATTATAAATTATTTTACTATTCTAAATTTTCCAACTGACAAAAAATAATTAAAATTTTTTATTAATAATCTAATTCTTATAAAAAAAGTTTGAATACATATGAGATAATGCATATAATTAATAATTAAGAAGAGTAAAATTTATAGTATTTAAAAAACATTAATATAAAAAGTTTTAATATAATATTACAGGCGAAAAAGGTAAACCTGGACCAAACGGTTTGCCAGGATATCCAGGATCTCCTGGTGAAAAAGGTGATAAAGGATTATATGGAAAAGATGGTACTCCTGGAGAAAAAGGGGAACGTGTAAGAAATAAAAACACATATATTACTTAATTTAATTTGTTACTTATATGATAATATTAATTTTGAGGCATTTTAATTAAAACATACAGAAAAAAAAATTTGATAATGCCATTTTTAAGGTACATAATTTTGATATATTCATTTATATTCCTAAAGTTGAGGATGTTTTTTTTTTAATTTTTAGTAATAGTATGTTTAAATTGATTAAATCGGATTCTTTTGACGTATAGACAAATCTATTCAGAAAAACTGACAATCTGACATAAAAAATGACACTATAATAAAACTAATATTATGCCAACTTCGCATTAAGGAAAAATGTGATATAAAAGTTTAGATTACAGTCATAGAAAACGTACTGAGTGATTATTCATTTAACAATAACTTACGCGATATTTTTTAAAATATAAAACGTATAAGATTAAAAGTTTATGTTTTAATATTTAAATGTTCAAACAAAAAAAATAGTTCCTATTATTCTATTTCCTCTTTAACATTTTACCAACTTTAGTTTTTTAAATAGAAATATATACGCATATTTAACCAATGTACAAATTAGAAAATGATCTATCTAAAAATATTGTTGGTTGATATAGTGAGCGTATTAAAAGTAAATACGTTCTTTACAAGGACAAAAAAAAATTTTAATTTATTTTATATAAAAATAACAATAACAAAAAAACACATTTATTTACAGTTGTACACTCTGGCTAGATAAGAGAAACTCACTGAGTATGACGTCCTAACCGGTTTATTTAGGGGGTATAACTTTCTAGAAAATGTGAAAAAATTCGAATAGCACTCGGTCTTTATTCTTGTGCTGAGCCAGCATTTTTGAACCACTCTTATTCCCATCAACATGTAAAAATACTTAAATCTTTTTAAATGATTTTTTTATAACTTATTATCAACTAATCGTTTTTCTTATTTTTAAGCCAATTAAAAATGTATGTTTCCATTTAAAAAAATGAAGAATAAATTCTTCTTAAAATAAATTTTAAGAAGAATGAAGAGGGAATATAACTTAATATACACATTTTTTTTAGCTTAGATGCGAAGCTGAGAAGGTATTGGTTTTACTAAGATGTGTTTATTTTTTATTTTTTGTGTATGTTACCACTTTTTCTCTGCTCTCATCGAACGGATTTCTTTCAACGATACGTCAAAAGATCACAAATCGTATCTAGTCGAAGACATTATCCTCAAAAATTGAAAAAATTTCCCTCGTTACCCGTAAATGGGGGAAACCCCCAAAAAATTACAAATTTAAAAATCGCTAATTTTCGAAATTTTTTCAATTTTTTTTACTAAAAACTGCCGTAACTTTTTCAAAAATGAACATATCAATATAAATTTTTTTTTTATAGATGCTTGATGTCTTTATCTATCATTTGGTATATATTTTTGTAAATTTGACACTTAATCTGCCCACAGGGGGGGTTTTAAAATGACAACTTTTTCACAAAAAAATAACTTTTTCAACTTAACTTTTGAAAATGTTCCGGAAGGTCTGACACTTTTATATATATCTTAAATTAATGCTAATGTAATATACTTTAATTTAAAAAAAAAATTTTGACCTCTGGTCTTGTCTTCACGGCGAAAATCGCTACCGAATGCTATTTTCGTGTGAAAATTCTCGATTTTATAATTTACATTTTAGCTTCAAATATCAATACAATTTTTTTATGAGAAATAATATTTTTTAATCATCCCTTTTTCATTCGACATACTTTATCTTAATTAAGATATTAATAATGAACTAACAGTTTATGAAGCTTTTGGAATAATCCACCAATTTTTTAAAATTAAACACTATCTAAAGATTTGCATTGAAGGTTTTTTTTTTATAGTGATTTTAATCACTGTCAGATATCATTATACTTGATCCAACTATGCCACGTCACCACTGTGCCGCGACCCCCCTGTGCTGGGTTTATTTAATCTAAGCGTATAAAATACTAACAACTTCTGTAAAGATAAAGTTATATTTTTGAAAATATTGCCATAGAGAGGAAACTCTATATATATTACATAATGTATTATGTACTAAATGACAAATATTATGCTAACACTCATTATCAACCTTTATAACAATATTGATACTTTGATGTTCCTCAAATAGTTTTAATCCATCGTTAGTCAATAAATGAGAACTAATCGAAACTTTGGATAACGATAATAACAATCAATGTTTATCGTAAACAACTTAAATAGATATTGTTAGATTTTTCATAAAGATCTATGAATATTACTAATTAAAATTAAATTTCTAATGATTAATTTATAATACATATTGATATTGAAACTACTTAAAAAAGGTAAAAATACAGTATGAAATTTATGCTATTACAAAAATAATATTTAAATGATCTTAGAAAACGTTTAAAATGTAATCAGTTTATTTATATTTTTAAAAATGTAAAGTTTGTTAAGGTTTTTTAATTGGGTTTAATATACCAAATGTTTAAAATTATAGATATAAGAGTTCAGCGTAGTTAAAAAGAGAGATGATCGCCAAGTCAAGTGGGAAGAGAGTTGCCACGTGTGGTGATGGTCACCATGCCAACAGCTAGTCTGCCCATCGTATAGATGTTTTACATCAGTAAAATTTGATTATTTTTTTATCTCTATCCTAGAACCGATTTTTTAGAGGGGTAGTGTACCTTCTTGACCACCTAATGAGCTCCTACCCACAGCGTACAATACGTTAAACAAACACTTTTTGAGCATCGCATATTTTCTAGGGTGGCACGCTTTTCTTTTCATTCTAAGGTGCAGCCCAATACATGCAATAAGTAAACGAGTAAGTCCGATTTTAAAAAACCCAACACATGGGGGTCGCGTCACAGTGGTGACGTGGCATAGTTGGATCAAGTATAATGATATCTGACAGTGATTAAAATCACTATCAAAAAAAAACGCTTCGATGCAAATCTTTAGATAGTGTTTAATTTTAAAAAATTGGTGGATTATTCCAAAAGCTACATGATCTGCTAGTTCATTATTAATATCCTAATTAAGATAAAGTATGTCGAATGAAAAAGGGATTATTAAAAAATATTATTTCTCATAAAAAAATAATGTTGATCCATACACTTTTCAATATGTCATAGCATTATAAAGTTAAAAATGTAAAAAATAAAATCGAGAATTTTCACACAATAATAGCATTTCGTAGCCATTTTCACCGTGAAGATAAAATAAACTCCGAAATTTTTTTTTACCATAATAAAGTATATTACATTAACTTTAATTTAAGATATATATAAAAGTGTCAGACTTTCCGGAACACTTTTAAAATTTAAGTTAAAAAAGTAAATTTTTTGTGAAAAAGTTGTCATTTTAAATCCCCTCCGTGGGCAGGTAAAGGGTCACATATAAAAAAAATATATACCAAATGTAAGGTAATGATATCATGCATCTATATAAAAGAAAATTATATTGATTCGGTTATTTTTAAAAAAGTTATAGCAATTTTAAGTAAAAAAAATTGAAAAAATTTTGAAAATTAGCGATTTTTAAATTTGTAATTTTTTTGGAGGTACATGTCCTATCCATTGACCTCTGATCCTATAGTGTATAATGCGCTTAAAGAACCACAATTTTGAAGAATCACATATTTTTGAAGGAAGACGTATCCCTTCACTTATCCTCCTAATGGGCACCTATGCATACGCTAAAGGTGTAGGGGTTTAGTGCTATAAGAAATAGGAGCAATGGCTATTCGCTCGAGGAGAGTCTTAGTACTATTGTATTATTTTATATTTTTTAAATTAAACACATTTTAATTAAAACTTCCATAAATAATAAATTGAGAGAAATGTATTTAGTTTTTTGTCTCTCTTAAAAAATATTGAAAATGTAGATGAAAATATTGCCACTAAGATACAAATATTAATTTACTATAATTAATATTACATTGTTTTAGTATATAAGCTACACTTATTGTAAAAGACTTCAGCAAGCCATTTAAATAATTTTTCAAAAAACCATCAAAATCCTGGATTACTCTTCCGCAAGTTTTCTCGTGGCATAAAATTGATTTTGAAATACTTTGTTCTATTAAAAATAATACATTATACTCAACACTTTTTATTCAAGTAAATAATTTAAAAAAAAATAAAATTTAAAAACGCAATTTAGTTTTGATGGGAAATTTCTCCTATATAAAGGAAAATGGTTTGATTTCAAAAAAAAGTATGTCAAAGGAAAGAAGTAAACAAAATATTTATGAAAAAGAAATTGTATTAATCCATACATTTTTAAAAAAGTTATAGTAATTTAAAATTGAAAAAATAAAATATGAAATCGTGAATTTTAATACCAAAATTGCATGTTTTTTAACTACGGCAACCATTTGCACATAGAAGATAAGTCGTTGAGCCAATTTTTTTTTTAAACTTATAGTACATAACATTAGCCTTATTTTAACATATTTTTAAAGCTCAGAGTATTTCTGAAACATTTTCAAAACTTAAGTTGAAAAAGTGAAATATTTGTGCAGAAGTAGCTATTTTGATTCCACCTTGTGGGCAGGTATAGAATCAGATTTTCAAAAAATGTATAGAAAATTAAAGGAAAATATCTATGATTTCAATATAAAAAAAATTATTTTGATATGTTCATTTTCCAATAAGTTATGACAATTTTTAGAAAAAAAAAGTTCAAAATTTACTGATTTTAAAAATTGTAATTTTTTGGGGGATTTTCACCATTTAGGGGAACAATGGCAAAATTTTCAATTTTTGAGGTTAATATGTTCAACTAGATACGATCTTTTGACGAATCATTGAGAAAGATCGCTCAGTGAGAGCTGAAAAAAAAATAATAAAAAAATAAACACGTTGTGGTAAAATAATACCATCTCAGCTTGGCATCGAAGCTAACAGTTGCTGTTATAATTATAAGATTAATGCAGAGATCTGAACGTAATGAAGGTTTTAAAATCTATTAACTAATTTTCTTAAAATGTAGCATTTGTAGTGCCACAAATTGAAAAGTTTTATTTTCTGAGTTTATCCACTTTAAACACAACTCTACTAAACTAATGGTGCTATTGACAATACAAAGATTTATGAACTTTTAATATCACAATCATGTTGGGTTCATAGTTAATTAATAATTATCTTTTATTTCAGTATGTTTAAATTATGCAAGTTGTAAAAAATGTTATAAACATGCATTTATTATAAATTAGGATCGACAACTATTTTTGAACATCGATATAATTTTTATGTCAGCAGTTTTTTGATAAATTTTCAATATCGTTATTATTGTTAAATATCGATGTTAATAAGTTTGTCAAAAATAGAATTACATATTTATTTAAAATTTTACATGGTTAATTTCTGGGCACATTTTGGGTCATTTTAATATTTAGATACTCCTATAAACATTTTATGATAAATAATAGTTATTATATATTAAAAAAAGCACATTTTTTTAAAACTTACAAAAAATTATAGTATTGCAGTCGATGGTTAAAAGAAATTAAGCTTTCAACATACATCAATGTATGTAGTGCGGGTGGAGTGGACATAAAACTGTACGATCTGTACTCACTCGAACTAAAATTGTAAAACAATTAAAAATTAATAACTTTTACTTTTATTTTATTTTATTTTTTCACATTAGAAACAAATAATGAAAAATATACTTTTAATACAGTTCAAAACTTTAAAAAATATTTAAAAATGACATAAAGAGAATAATCTTGAGCAATAGTAATTAGATTTTTCAAAATATCGTGAACGAATCTTTATAAATGATGTAATAGATGTGAATTAATGCTTATATAACTTTTAACTTATAACTTTTAATACTCTTTACATCATATATCGTCTTTTAAACCATAATTTCATTTTTAGCTAATTCTAAAACCTCTATATATTTATATGGATCAATATTGTATAAAAGATTATGTTAGAACATTTTTTTTTAATCGTAAAGTTTAAAATTTTTTATCTTTTTCTGATTTCCCTCGTCATTTTTAATGTTTAGAATGCATTTCATAACATAAAATTTATAATTATTATTTGTTTTATGATCAACATTGACGTATTAAGAACATTTTTAAAGCTCACTTTTTTTTTTTGAATCCTCAACTATAGAATTTTTACAAAATTCTAACTTATTAACTATTTATTTGCATACAATATAAATTTTGAATAAAGGAGCTGAATGTTTAGTTATTGGAATACTTTAGATTATTACAAAATAATACAATTTAAGTTCATGTTTTTAAGGGTAATACTGGACTACCAGGAGAAAGAGGAGAGATAGGACCCCGTGTAAGTATTAATTTTGTAATATATAATTATAAATAAATGTATTTTACAGAACGAATTTATCACAATTGAAAAATAATAATTTAAGTAAATTTGTTTGCAATTATTTCTAAACAAACTGATTTTTTTCTCCTAATATAAATTTATATTAATTAAAATATTTACTACTTAGTAAGTATTAATAAATAAAAAGAATTTAACAGTAATACAACAGTACTCTGAAATTATACTATAGTAAATATTACAAATCAAATGTTAATAATTCTATTATTCAAATTTAAATAGTTATAATAAGTTTAAAAATGGTTTGTTTGATAAATTAGTTTAAAATCAATGATAGCCAGCAGTATTATTATTATATAATTAAACTAAATTCAATAACTGTATTCAAATAGTTTATTATTTTTTGGTTTTAGGGATTTCGAGGTGCTAGAGGGCGTGCTGGAACTGATGGAATTCCTGGATCAAAAGTATGCACTACTATTTTAACTTAAACATCAAAACATAATAAAAATATCAATTTTATTTAAGTACTGATATTCTTAAAAAAATGAAAAAACTTTTAATTCATACATTTATAAAATTGTAATATATTAAAAAAAAAAAAAATGAAATATTCAATTTTGTAAATTTTATTTAATCATTTTTACCTTGTAGGAAACCTATGAAATTTTTATCATTTTAATTGAATATTAAATTTTTATTTGTATATTTTATCTTTTTATGGCCAAAATGATTAAAATGTTTTTTTAATCTTTGACTCAACTATAACGATATGGTTGTAATTTTGGGCACCAGAACTTTCAGAATTCCTCTGCTTCATTTAGTTGTGTATGTTTTTTCGAGATGAATAAATATTGAATCTATTTTCTGTACTTTATCATAATATTATAAAAATACAATCAGGCCACCTTTAATTATTCTAACTTTAAAAACTCTTTTTAAAAAAACATTTGTATAAAAATTAATTTCTTATTATTTATTTATTAATTATAATGTTTGGTTTTATTTGAATCTTAAATAGGGTGATACTGGCCAGCCTGGCGCAACGGGTCCTATTGGAGAACGAGGAATACCCGGTTTGTAGCTCATGCATAACAGTAATGAACTTATTAAATTAAACTTAGTTATTATTTATATAATCAATACCGAACCTAAGGGTTATATGATATGTTTACTAAGAGCTTTGTTAATGTAGTAGCCTTTCGTAAAATGCAAATAACGTATAAATTTAGTTGAATGATTTTATAAAGCAATATAAAATTTCATATTACGAAATTTTTCCGGCAGACATTAAATACATCAGTTTATTAATTCGTAATAAAATATTACTATTATTATTATCATGGACATCATGATGGTTGACTTGCTAGCAAGGTTGAAAATAAAATAAACAACAATCGACATTACTATACTTATTACACTCTGCACAACTTGATGGAATTTTCAGGCATTCGTAGCAGTCATGGGAGCAATTTATCTGCAGATATTTTATGGATTATTCAAGTCGCGATCAAGACTGTAAAATAAGATATTAACGAAAATTCTACAATAATTATAACCTTTATTTCTATATGCGCTTAAGTCGATTTTACAATTTTTTACTATTTTTTTTATACAAGGTAGAGCACAACTACAGGTGCAAATATAATGGAATTTGAGAAGTATAAATTATATTTAGGTAAAATATACTATTTGAATTATATACGAGTAAGTGTACCAAACTTCAAGTCATTGAGCAAATACAGTTATACAAGACTATTCAAAATGTTCAGTCGAGATTGAATAAAAAAGCACAAAGTCAAAATTAATTAAAATTTATAATTAAATAACTTATATTAGTTACTGAGGAACACAAAAAAAAATTGATAAATCTAATATCATCAATAAAATACTCAAAAAAATAAACCAAATTTGAACAAAAAATTTTATTATTAAAAAAAAAATAAGCCACAGTATGGTTTGATATCAACTTTGTCTCAGCTTTTATAAACATGGTTCTTAATGTACCTTTCTACTCAATTTTACATTTTTTTTATATAATTATATCTGCACCTATATTGTCAATTACTGCTATCCACTATGGTTTCTTTTAAAATTCTCAATACAATTAAATAAGGTTAACGACAGAAAAAAATATATGAATTAATGAAATACTTTATAAATCCAACTAATTATCATTTTTATTAATAACTTGGATAATTTTAATTCAATAAAATGTAATAAATATTTGAAATAAATTATAGTAAATTTTAATCTGAGTGAGAAAATTTTAAAAGAACCCAACAAACTTGTAATACTATTGTGACGAAATAGGTGTAAAATTAATAATGTTAGACAAAAAAAAGTAAGGTTGAGTGGAAACTTTATTAAAGAAACCATTTTGTGTCTAGTTTAATTTTAACATAATACAATTTTTTTTCCATTTTTGAAGTTTATACAATATTGATTTATTAAGATATTTTAATTTATTCCTCTTATTTGAAAATTCTACTTACTTATTATTTCGCATAGGATAGGTGCGGATGGGTTAAGAGGTTTTACTGGACCCCCCGGGGCTTCTGGTCCTAGCGGTAAAGATGGTCTTCCAGGTTTTCCAGGAGAAAGAGGTCCACCAGTGAGTAATTAAGTTTTTAATTTATTCCATTAATTGAACAAGTGTTTCATCATAAAATGATTAGTTCAGCATAACAAAATCGAACATTACAAGCTAAACACCAAATAACAGTTTTTAAGCTATTTAGATTACCTATTATACAAAAATGATTAGTCATATCATTCATATTTAATATAATTTAACTACTTTGTTGTTGTTATTTTTATTAATAATGAAATTCCAACTTTAATTTTAGGGGGACACTGGACCAATAGGTATTACTGGCGTCCCTGGAGTTATTGGCACCCCAGGACAACCAGGAGAGGTTAATTTTTAAAATATAATTTTTAAATAAACTTTTTATGAAAACAATTACTTAACTTACAGGCGGGATCCATGGGTGAACCTGGACCATCTGGACAGCCTGGTTTACCGGGTGAGCCAGGAAGACCTGGTGATTCTGGTAAGTTTAAGTATTTTCTACAATTATTTTTAAATTGTTAGTTTCTAAATAATATACTTTTGTTGATTCAGGAAAAGAAGGACTTCCGGGACCAGTTGGATTACCAGGAAAACCTGGAGAACCAGGTTCTCCAGGATTACCTGGCTTTCCAGGAGAAAGAGGTAAGTTTTTAGTATTAATAATAATTCTAACTAAAATCTGATTTTTAATATTTCTTATTTTAGGTTTACCAGGAACAGCTGGAGTTATTGGTCTTAAAGGTTTGAATTAAATTTTAAGTATGTTTACAAATTTACATAAACAAAAAAATAGTATAGTACCTTGGTTTAATTATTTTAGATACAGAATTTATAAAAAACTTTTAATATAATTACATTTCATTTCATAAAATATTTAACAAATTTTGAGACAAGTAAAAATTAAGTTTTATTAAAAAAAGATAAATTAATAAAAGTTTAAAATGTCTACTAAATCACAAAAAGTTATACTTTCCACGTTTACTCGTTTATCATTAGATATCGGACTTATGAAATTTGTCAATAGCACATGTTTACCAAGTTGATAATTAATTTGAACACGTGACTATTTTAACAACACAATCAAAACTAAAACTTATATAAATTACTTTAATCTCCAAAATGTGAAGTCAAACATATACGGAGAATATATAAAACTAGTGAACGTGTTAAAGAAAACGCTTTAGTATTAAGTAGTAAATATTTAATATTTAATATTCTACATGTTCCCCTATAATATAATACAAATTTTCAAGTTAATATTTTTTGTTGAAACATATTCATCATTTTATTAAAGTTTCTACATTTTAATAAATATGTCATTACTCAAAAACAAATAAGTTTCTTGCAATTCAATTTTTTTATAAATCAACTGTAAAATATCATGAATAAGAAATAACAACCAAATCATTATGTCGTATGCTTATGTCGCAGTATGTTAATTTAAGTAGTATACATAGTTATTTTTTTTAACATAACCCACTTAATTGCTCACAAAATGAAAATAAATTTTTAAGTTTTTTTCTTTGGTTAAAATAATGTAAACAATTTTATTTTTTTGGCTACCTTTAGTTACTTATCTATTAATATAGTAGTTTAATAATCTATGTAATACTCTTTAAGTTCATTCCTTATACCTGGTAGAGGTATCAACTTTGTTTTTAATTAAAGAACACATATTTTGAATTTAATAAAATGTTTGAGGTATTATTTTAATAGTAAATGGGATTTGAATTTTTCATATAACTTTATTCGTTTATTAGATATAAAACTTTAAAATTCCAAATTTTTAAATTAATATACATGGTATATGTGATGATACAATATATGAAGGATAACAAATACAGATAGCTAATAGGTTTTTAAAATGTCGCTATACACAGATATGCAGCTTTTATAGTCAATTATGACTTTATCAACAGATATGCTTAAAGTGCGGTCATAAAGCACATTGTTGTGAGTTAACATTTATAAATACACCAATTGAAAATACAAAAAGCAAACCGACAAACAAAGAATGAAATCTGACGAATAATAACTTAGTTATTCTTTAGTAATTGTTCACTTTACCAAAACCTATTTTTTTGATTTAAACATTTATACCAATAATTAAGAATAATCAATTACACATAGTGAGACGGTGTGGCCGAGTCGGAACATGGCAGTGCTTGACGCGCACTGCCTCAGGTCCGAAACTCGGTCACGGGCGGCTTCATTTTCCGAACGAGAGATCAGTTCGGTAATTGGAGTCGCCACCCCACTTCCGGCGACGGACTAACCACCCGTCCCGGAGTATAAATGGTTAAGAAACCTCCTCTTTTAGGGTAGGTCGTTATGGCCCTTAATGGGTTAATAAAAGCGTACAAAAAAAATCTATTAGACATAGACATTAAATATTTAAAGCCAACAACTGTATAATTAATTTTATGTAGTCGAAATATATTTCTATCTATTGGTTTTAAAAAAATAAATGGTAACACGATGTAATTATCATACTGTGTATTTATAAATTTAATTGTGATATTTAGATTTTAGATATTAACATAATTTATTTTATCTTTTATTTTAACTTCCCCTACAGCCCAGTAATTTTTATATTCTTGTAAAAATCGCTGAAAATAAGTTATTAAATAATACAATAATTGTATATTAATCAAAATGATTTAAAATATTTAATTCAAAAGAATATAATTAATCACCTTAGTATAGTTTAACTAAAAACTTAACTATTTTTTTACAGTTATTTAAGTATATCAGTCTTTGTTTTGATTTATAGTTTGCATTAACTATAACAAAGTTAACCTTAACAACAATTAGATTGAAATCGGTGAACTTAATTGTTTTACTTAAATTGATACAAAACATTCAAATACTCTATTTTTACTTCAACGAGAACATTTTTAGCTATTTTCAAAAGAGTAGAAACAATACTTAAATTTTATAAATGTGTTATGCAAATTCATTTTTGTAGTACAAAAACAAATCTCGATAAAATCGACTAGTAATTTTTCGGCATATGACAAAAAACACTTTTCATTTTTTAAATTACAAAATATATTTAAACGTATTTTCGACTTATCAGTTTATAGATTAAAGGAAGAGAATTTAAAAATATTATTTTTAAATTTATGTTAACTGTAGATATAAATAACTATAAATTCTTTAATACTGGATCAACTTTTATGTACATATTTTTCTATAAAACAAATTCCTATAAGATGCTTATAGAAATATAAATTGATTATTTTAACACTAACCACTCAATTTCTCTTTAAATAATAATATTTTGTTATTTTTTTCTTTTGTTAGACACATATATATATATCTATTTATCTGTTTTAAAATAATTTTTATGTTCACCCTTTATGCCTTATAGGAGTGTCAACTTTATTTTTTTAAATGATGACATACATATTTAATTGGTGTATAAAAATAAAAATGATCCAATTAAGAAAATAACTGGTCGATAACAATTTAAAATATTTAAAAAGTTATTAAAGTAATTTAAACAGATAAATGGAATTAAATATGTACCTAACAAAAGCCAAAATAAAAAACTTACAAAAGAAATATTATTTTAAGAGAAATTGAGTGGCTAGCATAAAAATAATCATCCTTTACATGAATAGTATATTTTTTAAAGAAAAGTGTAACAAGAGCCTTAAAGAAAAATTATATGTTCTTAAAAATTTGCTCCATAGCATTTTAAAACATAGATTTGGTACTGTTCTTGAGTATTGATTTTTAAAAAAATGTCTTCAGCCTCATAAAACATTTTTTAGGAGATATGGGACCTCAAGGATTACCAGGGTCATCTGGTGATAAAGGACAACAAGGAGAAATTGGAAAAGAAGGACCACAGGTTGATATTAAGTTTGAAAATATAATTAAATTAAATTTTATGGTGGACTATTTTCAATGGAAATATTTTTTATCTCGTTGATATTATTTGGCTTAAATATATAATGGAAAAAAATTTTTGATGGGACTAAATTGAACACCTTTATAAAAAATAATTTTGTACAAAATACATGTGATTTGTAATTTTTGGAAAGCTTATTTATGAAATGAGTCTAAAATTAAAATTATTTATAGCTGTAACCTTATAGCAAATGATATTTATCTAAAAAGTACTTAAAATTATGTAGTATAATTGCTTCTAACATTTTATAGACAAATAATATTAGTGTACATGATTTTAGGGTTCTGAAGGACGTAAAGGACCTCCTGGTGTAGCTGGTTCCGTTGGTTTAAAAGGAGATAAAGTAATATTTTGATTTATTGTTTAATTTACTTATATTGCCTAATAATAAAATTGTTTTTACTGAAAAAAAATATAAGTGTATAGAGAGAGACCCAATTTGTTCTGACAACTTAAATAACTTCAGATTCGGTTAATATTTTTCGCTAATATTTTTTTGAACAATTAACACACTTGTGGGTTCTAATAGTATTATAATATAATTATTTTTTTAATTTATCAAAAAAAATTGTTCAATATTCATTTTTCAGAGTAAAATGTGTTAAAAGTATTTTTTAACTATTCTTTTAAATTCACTCAAGCTGTGTAAAACAATATAAACGCGTGCTTTTTTTTTTTTATATAACACAAAGAGTTAACGTATTTATCATTAAAAAACGAACTAAATAAGCACGTTATAATGTAACAGTAGAAATATTCTTAAATTGAATATAATACACCAAAAATAATATTTTATAGTTTTAGACTATATTAAATAAAAATAAAAATTTTAAGTTTTCCTCATTATAATAAAGAAAAACTGTATCTCAGATGCATGTCACATTTTGTCGCTTTTTCAGGAAATCATAAAAATAAACTTTTTTTAATCGCTACAGAGATTGAAATAAAAGTTAGCATACTATTACTATTGGTCTACATTAAAAAACTAAATCATATGATTCGACTTACGTCGCAATAATGTCGACACTAGTTTAGATTGTAGAGACCATTTAGGTCGTTTAATATTAATGAACAGCAATAGATTATTCAAAAACCGAGAAGACAAACGCAATAAATACTAGTCTTCGCATAAAATCGCGTCACTTTTGCTGACGTCAGTGACGTGGTGTCTGACATTATATACGAACGTCAAAAGACAGCAGCGTTGAGGCGACGGTGTGTTCGAACGGTATCGGTTTATCGTGTCCAGTCGTACGGTTGAGTATATCTTCGACGACGCGAAGAAGTATCTGTGCAGTATAGGAGCAACCGGCTTTGCGGTCATTGTTGGACTTTGTACCACCGACGTATCGTACGCGATAACAGTCAGTGACACTACCATTTGTCCACAAAGGTAGGGCGGTAGATGACAATGGTAGCGCGGGTTGCGATATTTCATATATCACGGAGCGCGCTAGGGACTGTGTAACATATCCCCCCTCCCGCCAAGTCACCGAATTACTATGCGTAAGTCGAGTGAGAGACCTCAAATTGCGGTTGAAATATGTGTCACATTTGGTTGTTGTAATGTAATTTTTTTTTTTTACTACNGGTTGAAATATGTGTCACATTTGGTTGTTGTAATGTAATTTATTTTTTTTATGCATTTGTTTTGTGGATGTTTCGAGGGTCGAGTGCATGCATGTTCTCGTTTTAAAATCAAACCTGTTATCTTCTAATTTCATGTGTTCCTCCGGCGGTCGCTGTTCCACTGCTACTGCTGTTGCGATCCTCCATTTGTCGAGGAGGAGTAGTCGCCGTTGATATATTACAATAAGGAAAGTGGTAGTAATAGTGGTTAAAAATTTGTCATTTTTACCAAGAGGAACATGCAACATTTTTATCCGGTGAGACGCGAGATACCCGTTCGTATTGCTCAATAAATGGTGTATTGGAGAGGAATCGGTCATATGTTTGAAGACCATATGTTCAGTTTACAAGTGTTCGAAAATAAGTTTATTGAATTGAATTACACCACACATTAGAATATGTTTATATTCTATTGGTATACATATTGCATATTGTTTAATAAATATTATTTTATACATTTTTAATATTGAAATACAATATTTCCTTCTTATAAAGTAGGGGTTTATGTGTTATTTAACATCAAAAAAGATATGAATGAACGCAGCGCCCGATAATATTCACGCGGGTTCGTTTACGTTTGTGGTTTTATTTTGTCTTAAATCTTTGATTATGTTGAGGATAAAGAATAAGGTGAGTGGATTATATGAATGAATGTAGAATAAAACTTACAAAATATAATTATAACAATTAAATGTCATCAAATCATAAAATCTTGTATACACCAATGTGGATAGGAGGGACACTTAATACTAATGTCACAATGGCGCTGATATAAACAAATAATAAATTGTAAATGTGAGCAAGTCATAAAGAAGATAAACAAGCATTATACTTATCGGCTAATTGAAACGGCTGATGATAGTGTTGAATATTGAAAGGATCAATTGAAGTCGAATGCAAGTAGCTGACCAACGTGTACAATATGCTGTGAACAGTACTGTAGATACATTACAGTATAGACCCATAGGCGATTTACTGAGTGCACGAAGGTGCGACAATGGCAAATGTGATATTTTACTTTTATAGCAAAATTAATACAAAAATACGAGCTCGCAAACGCCATAGAGCTTATAACTAAAATACGCTAAGATGGCGACGACAATGCAGACATAGAGAGAAGACTAACAAAAACTTGGTGTAGCACAACGATAGCATAAATAATCATAACACAATTTCTCGACAGCACATTCGACCCATGTGTATCCAACAGATTAGTAAATAATTCATTTATGAGATCAGTTTTACAATATTTTAAATACAAATATTACATCAAATAAATGCTAAACTATATAGTTGATAAAATTTTGAAGTATTAAAGATTTTTTTTTTTTATGAAATTTTGTATGATGTATTACTAAAATACAAAATAATAGACATGTTGCATACTAAAATTAAAAAAACATTTTTGGCATTTTCACTTTCCCTAGTGCAATGAAAAGGCTGCGAACTAAACTATTTTACGTTTAAAAGAAGTTTCCGTCTAATAGAGAAACGTTGATAAGAGGTTTCACAGTATTGCATATTTCCGAACACAAAACCTCTTACCATGTTGGTGTGGTGGTAGAAATTGTGACTGTGTAATTCACAGTCAACGAGTATTTTTTTCATGACTGATACTCGTTTCCCGAAACTGTTGACCTTTAAGGACAACTACCATACTTGTAATCGGCTCCGCAATATCGAAGAAGGGTCATACTGCGTTAGGCGCGCCTCAGGCCGCTGCCATCTAAGGTGGTTGGAAAGAGACAAAAGGCGGCATGTCGGATTAACGTTGACTTTTAGTCTACCCTTTTAGAACCTATCAACGTCGTTTGCTATTACATGTAGGAGGTCATCTAATGCACGCAGGAATTAAAATGAATGTTTCTACATTATCGTAGTATTTTTCGCGCAAAATACTGACTTTCTGATCTACTTTTTGCTATTCTAAACAACTGGAGTGAGCGCACATCGCTTGCCGTTTTTTATTTAAAATAAACTTCGTCATTTAGAGAGGAACTGGTTCTCTTGCACAATGGTGGAACAAAAGTTGAGAATGAGTGGTAATAATCAACTTTTCTGATTTAAAAAAACTTTAGTTTAGTTTAGTGCCGTTTATTGTAAAAAAATAATACAACACAAGAGTACGCCCAAGACAAATAACTTTTTAATGGAAAATAAGATGAAATTACAGAATTAATAAGATGTTGCTTTGACGTTGGGTCGGTGCAAACCGACGTATTCAGACAGAACGATGAAAATTATTTCAACATATAATTGCGGCGGGTCGTCGTCAGCCGTGCGATACTTGTTGAACTTAGTAACGCGGCCTATTGCACGCAGTGTCAGCTAATCAAACTACTATGTACACATAGTAAGGCAACAGCTAACAAAAGTGGCGCGGATTTTGGGGCTTCGCGTATCACAGAAAGACACGGATCGTGTCAGGTTAATTAGTTCATTTTTGTGTGAGTTTCGTTTGTTAGGTATCAATTTCAGTTAGGACCTTTATAACTTTGATAAAATATGAAAGGGGTCTTTGTAACAATATTCATTTGATATAGATTGATGTAAAATTTAATTTCGCACACAAAAAAGGAATGACTTGAAATTATAACTTTTGGACGTACATTAATCAATTTCTGAGACACAAAAATATGCTCTTTTACAAAGTCTAAAACTGTAAAAGTTATTTAAAAAAAGAAAACAACACAAAATATTCCTTGGATCAAAAGTTATTATAATATAAAAACATCGTAGACCACCTTGTTATATCAATGTCTGTAGAGACTACTGTTGACACTTTGTTATATTTCAAATTTCTTTAATAAAAAGAACTCAGTGTCGTGGGTGATTTTCAGAAGATGTGAAAACATATATATAAGTCTAACATCACAGATTTAGCAACAAATAATCTTAAATAAAACACGTGTTTATAAATTTTTAAAAATCGTATTTAATTAATATAAATTATATTATAAAATAATTATATTACACATAATAATTTTAACACATAAATATTAAAAATGTAATCTCTAAAACAATATTTAATGTGTAGAGATATTAGTGTAACATTTACTTTTATTTTTTTCTTAATAACATAGATTTCTTTTGATAAATAAATAAATATATTTTTATATAAATTTATACATTATGGTTTGTTAAGAATAGTACCCTTGATTTAAAAAAATGTCTATTTAAGGTGTTATTTATTTTTACAAACCATGATGAATATCGAGTTTATTGTAAAAAAATAAACTATATCTACGAGTATGAATAGTTTTCGTGAGTAACTTAGTGAAAAATCAAAAAAATATATTAATTTAAATTAATATTTTATACTGGATCCAAATCTGTGATTGGCTTTTTTAGTTATTGAGATTAAACCTAATTAGTAAAAACGTTAATATCTTTTACATTACTTAAGAAATCATTTTTAGGGTTTATCTGAAACTTTATACCCTCAATTGGTAAAATTTACTACAAACTTCATTTTACTCAATTTACTTCACTTATTAATAACATGGCTGTAAAAAAAATGTATAATTTTAGATTATTTCTTTACAATATTGAAATTATTTTTACAGGGTGAAATCGGACTTCCAGGTCCAATAGGAAATGATGGCTCTGTAGGAGCTAGGGGAGTTCCAGGTAATATATATTTTTAATTTAAAATGTTTTGTTTGGTAAAAACTGAAGATAGTGGTTATTTAAAAATTGAAAATTATCAGGAAAATATGCTTAATCTAAAAGATGAAATTTCTTAATTTAAGAGTTAAGACAATTAAATGTCAATTTTGCTTCACTTTTGTTCGCAAGAATGCACTAAGTTTGAAATTATAGTAGATATTCTGAGTAATTTAATCCATTTAGTAATTTAGCAGTTTAAAATTAATTAAAAAAGCATATTGTTTAAAATGATGTTTTAAACTAAATTACTTGTTGCATAAAACTTATTAACGTAGAAATTGAATTTTAACTGAATTCAAATGCGATATTTTGAGTAAAATAAATGTATGATTTTAATTATTATCAATTAATATTAAAATGTTATTATATTAAGGTATAATTTATTATACATGCATTAGGTATGTGTATACATTTAAAAACCATCAACTCTATTTTTTGATCATTAATACTGGGTATTAACTAGATACAAAACTTTAATGAATTTAATCAAAGAAATTAATTTTTGAACATTTAAAATTTAAATCACATTATTTTGTATTATATTACATAGTAAAAATGATAATGTTATAATTAAAACTGTAAAAATAATGATTATTTTGTCATTCATTAGGTCCACCTGGTCCTGTTGGTCCACCTGGAGATGATGGAGATAAAGGTATTAAAATATATTATTAATTTAATTTTTTTACTCTATTATTGTAATTTATATAAATAAAAATGTTTTGCAAAAATTTAAAATAGGTGAAATTGGTATTCCTGGAGAAAAAGGATTTAAGGGATCTAAAGGAGAAATAGTAAGTTTTCTGTTATAAGTCATTTCCATATTCCTAGAAACAATAATGTAAAATTTTATTTTTATGATTGTACACAGCCACATTGAAAAAGACAAAATTGTTCTAACGAATTAAAAAAGTAACTGAGTCGATAACCGTCTAATTTAATTGACTAAAGTTATTAATTCAAAATTATTCACTTACCATTTCAAAAATGATTCTTTTAGAAGAACGTAATATTAATGGTTTAGTACAAAAAATAGATTTTAGACAAAATTGAGTTAATTATGTCTTTCATAAGACTAATTGGAAATATTTGTTGTATACTGGACATAGTAATACTTGTAAAAATACACTTTGTATAGATGAATTTTCGTCTTCTGAATTTATTTTTTAATAACTAATAATAATAATCACTACTAGAAGATTAACTTAAGATATTTAAAAATAAAAGTACAAGTTGACAGACTCTTATCATAAGAGGCTAAAAAGTATCCCGATAATTTTTAAAATAAAATTTTTTCTATATTATACATAAATAACACAATGCTAATAAATTATACCTCATCAGTTTTCTTGATAGCTCAATATGGCGTATATATGACTTAATTCGATAAAAATAAACGATAACAGCGGGGTTAGGTATAGAGTATTATTAGATAAGCCTAAGTAGACGTAAAACTTACTGTGGTTAAATTTTCCACAGAACAAAAATTTTATTGACTTTATTTTAAACACTTTCTAAAAAAAGTAGCTCGCTTGAATGGGATACTAGTCATTGAACCGTCAATTTCTCAGCTAATGTCAAATAAACAGCAGTGTATACATTATTTTATAACAATCATAATGAAAATTTAAAAATCGCAAATGCTGCTTTTATTTTACTATATTCTGTTCATTAAAAAAATAAAACTAAATGAAGTAGAATATGGTAGCAATGACTTTGTACCTATCTAAGAATTTGTATAGTGATTCGAACTTATTAAACATATTGCGAGAAAAAGAAATCTTAGGAAAATATATACGCGTGTTAACTATCTACTTGAATACTTAAAAAAAAAAAAATCCTTTACAAGAGAAACATACCGTCACTTTGCGGTTATTAACAACTAAAACCCCACCTTTATAAATACGCAATGCACGTCCGCTGTCGAGCAAATAACACTGTGCACACTAACACTGTTATGTAATGTATCATTCTTTTGATGTTCGTCAAAAAAACAACAAAGTCGTGGAGCGGCAGTGTCCAATCCCAAATATACAGTAATAACGTACGTTTATGAGCGTTATAATTACATTACAGTATCACGTTATAATGAAACGCTTCAAGTGTATATCTATCACAAAGCTTTTGTCATAAACATGTATTGAGAATGTATGGACTATCAAAAATTTCTTTATTATTATCACTGGCCTGCAAAATTAAACCGTAGATCAGAGACGAAAATATAATTTTTTAAACAAATTTTTGCGCTGATTTAAAATATATAAAAAAAGTGTACTTTACAATACTTTCTTTCTGCCTTAACTTTAGGAGTTATTCTCATTATATACCTAGGCGAAACGAAGAGGATGATCGAGAAATAATGACTAGTGATAAAAATAGCAGTACCCACTCTATATTTACAATCTATAGTTTAAATTGTTAATAACTTCCAAAGTACTTTAGTAAAGCTGTTATCGACCAGTAATTTTCTTAATAAGATCTAACAAATAAGTTAGTTAATTATGTGTGTTGCCATTTGAAAAATTAAGTTGACACCCTTATAAGGTATAATATAAAAGAAACATAAATTTTTTTTATGGTTGATACATTGAAAAAACAACATTGAACTAAAAGAAACCAATTAAAAAATTATCAATATTGTTTTTATTTTTTGATTAATTAAATGGTTCATAATAAGTGAATCGCCCTAAATTATAACAATTTTTAACAGTTATTATTAAATGACAACCTTTATGTTTTAATTATTAAAATTTAATAAATAACAAAATATGTTATCTGATATTTCGAACGTCTCATATCAAACAGATTTTGGTGGACATGGTAATTTTTGATATTACTGATATCAAAAATTATCGTGATTATTATGACGACCAGAATATTACACAAACATTTGAAAAAAAAATGATACGCCGGTATACAGTGTATATCCTCTACTACACCACTGATTGTATTTCTTATGTACATTTCAGTTGCATATTACTTTAAATGTATGTACTTACTGTATATAATTGTACTAACAATTTTTTTTTTTAATCAAGGAAATCTACATGTCAATCTCATTTTTTATATAAAAACCTGTAATATACAAAATGTCCAATAAATGAGTAAAATGCTTGTTAACTATGAACGATGGAATTAATAGAAAATTATTTTCTTATTTACTAAATATCCTGTATATAAATGTATCATAAATTAAAAACCTCTCCATATGAGAAGGCTTAAAATTTTATAGTAATATTAATATATTCACCAGTCGATGGAATTTTTCTACGGTAAAAATTATTGTTGATATTTAAATTAGTATTTTAATATTATGAAAAGTTATACTCTGATTTCAGGGTCCTGTTGGTGGACTAGGAAATCCAGGTCTCAGAGGAGAAATCGGTCCAATAGGAGTAAGTATTAAATAACATTTATATACTTACATAAAATATAAGTAACATTTGAAGAGTACAGAGGAAAATGTCCCTGCATCCTTCATATATGTAATATACATATACATTAGGTAATATCTATTACTGGCATTTGTAATTATAATTAGTTACCCGGAGAAAAAGGACCACCTGGTGACTTAGGAAGACAAGGAACTAAAGGAGAAGTAGGACCCCCGGGATTAATAGGTTAGGAAATTTTATTTCAATAAAACTATAAATTTATGTTAAATTAAACTATTAATTTAAATAAATTTATGACAGTTTAGTTATAATTACTGTTGAAAATAATACATTTTTATCTATTTTGATTTTAAATAAAGGACCACCTGGTCCTCCCGGAACTCAAGGCTTACCAGGACTTATAGGATCAAAAGGTGAAGCTGGGGATATTGGTGCTAAAGGTAATCATTTTAAGTACACCTACTACATGAAAATTATTTGAAAATTTATAATTTTTATTTATTTTAATTAAATCTTAATTAATTAACAATTTATTAATCTAGTGAATAAATATAAATCACTTATATATAAATATATATATCACTTAAAAACTAAATCTATAGGTTAATTTAATTAGTTAATTAAACGCTAAAGAGATAAATTAGTTGATACTTTGATCATAATTTTTTACAATATAAATAAATACATTTAATTTAATGAAACTAAGGCTATGATGGTTAATACCATGCAATTTAACAAACCTTTCAACGACTAACTTAATTACTATTTTATACATTTTCTCTATGTAAACTATGTTTTATTTAGGACCTGTTGGAGCTCCAGGAGCACCAGGTGAAATCGGACCAAGGGGGTTAAAAGGTGTGGAAGGACAGCAAGGTAATTGACATTAATCATTAATTGTTTATCTTATTTAAGAAATATATGAACCAAATACATACGGCATATAATGTTAGTTTTATCATTATTTATTTGAAAAATCAAAATCATATTTAAACAGTGCAGCAGAATAATTCATTACTTCATAAATTATATGAATCATAACTAGAATATTATACATAACAATGATACAGTAAAGATGCAGGTAAATTGTTATGACATTGTCAACATTAGAAACCCTTTGTCTTACATTTCGAACACTTGATTATTATTGGCATAGTTTTTCCCTAAAATCCTGACATAAAAAAATGATGTCCCAATTACATTATTGTTATTAAATAATAAAATATTTTGCTTTATATTCTTCTATTGTTTAAGTTCTGGGGAACCCTTAAACATTTATTATGTTCATGTCAACAAAAATTGTTAAAAATAAGAAAATCAGCAAACAATATAAATAAATGAGTAGGGAATAATGCACTACAAAACGGGGTACGATCGTCCCGTTGCCGGTAAGGAAAGGAGTTTATTTTTGTATTTGTACGGACGTTATCGAAATTGTTTATCTATTACTATTTAATTATTTTGTATGTATAACTATTGTATATTTGGAATATAATTATTTATAACCGTTCTAATGACTGATTATTGTTATTTCATTAAATTTCATTGTTATCATAATTATTTTGTAAGTACGAGTTTAAGAGTTTAAGTCGGGTTCCTGTCCTTTAGTCAATACCAATAGTTAGTGTGTGAGCTGGCTAGTCTCTGTCCTAAACAAAAATTCTTTGAAATATTCTCATAATGTAAAGTACATTCTGCAAATATTACATTCTTACAGTATATTGTATGAATTATATTTTTAAAATATTATAACAAAAATATTATGACAATATTTTACAAGTAGTTTTATGAAAATAAATAAATAATATATTTTTCGATACTTATGTTTATGTATATATTTAATTACATTGTTAGATTAATAAAACAAAAAAAAAAAAATAAGAGAAACTTCCGTACATTTTAATAGTGAAAACAAAAATGTAAATTAATATTATAAATTATTATAGAGAAAAAATATCAAGTTCAAAAAACTCTACTATAATATGTAGTCAAACCATTATTTTTTCGTCCCTTCAAGGATACAAACCCTTATTTATAATTTTCTTAAATGGGAATCCTTATTTTTAACTTTATAATATGATAGAAAAAAAAATTACAAACAATTTTGTCTTATAATTTTTTTTATCCGATTAACTGTTCGTCCGTTACAGCTTGTTAAAGTTAAGTGATTTTAGGCCAAATTTCTATTGTCATTTTAATGTATTAAATAAAGAAGTAATTTTTTTTTATTTGCTGTTGCATAAACCAAATTTTATTGATCAAGTTATGATAGGTAAATTAGCTATAAAAATGTACCACGCACTAAATGAGTGATAACAATAATAGATTCAAACCAGGTTTTCGGTGTATTATTAATAGCTAAGTCTATGGTTTTGTAAGGCTAAAGGATCTAACAAAAATACCGGTTGTATTGCCGCTGATATGAAATGTAATAAATAACAATATTTTTTCTGGAAGTCAAAATCTTTAAACAATTATAAAACGTAAACGGTTGTTTGGATAAAAAAAATTATAAAAACAATATTGTTTGTAATTTTTTTTTCTATTATATTATCAAATCAAAAATAGTGGTTCCCATTGAAAAAAATTATAAATAAACATTTTTATCCCTGAAGGGATAAAAAAAAAAAATTATTTAACTTCATATTATTATAGAGTTTTATAAACTTAATAATTTTTCTTTTTACAAAAATTTTTAATTCTCAATAGTTTCTGAGAAAATAAGTGTCTTACCCGATTTCGATCATTCTGTATATATATCATCAGTATTATATGATTGAATAATGAGGATATTTCTTTAGGTATTACAGTAATAGGACAGATATCAGTTATACAGTGTTCAGTAAGTCAGGAAACGGGTTTCTATTGTTCTCATTGTTACAAACAATGAGAACAATAGAAACCCGTTTCCTGACTTACTGAACACCCTGTATAGCATATTGTTATACATTATGATTATTTCAATTGAGACTGTTAGATTCAAGATAACATAAATTTTATTAAATAATATAAACATAAATGCCTACATTTTGTAATTCTTAGTAAAATTTAAAATCATTTTTCTAAGTTACTTAAAAAATTATGTATAGAATATTCAGTAAGTAAGGAAACGGGTTTCTATTATTCTCATTGTTTATAACAAATATAAAATAGTTTAAAACTTTTTACGGGACATGAAATAGCATTTTTTAATATTAAATAATTTTAATAAATCAACTATGATTATCATCAATTATGAGTTATTATTATAAATTTATTAAATCTTTTTTATTGTTGCTTAATCAAATTTTCTTAAAGAATGATTCAGAGTAAAAAAATTTTGTTCAAGTTTACTCTTAACTTAATATCTTGTTATTCCGCTTATACTTTTTTATCTGGTACAAATTCCATCATATCCTTTATTGTATTAAGGTACCCTTTTGCGACACCTTTTCTCATGATCACCCACTTTAAAACCTCTCTCATACGCTTTTTTCAAATCTGTAAATATCACATTCAGCTGTTTCTTTTTTTCCCTGTACTTTTCTATTGTCTCACATAGAATTCTGGCTCCATCTTTACTTTACTGGCAAAAACCAAACTGATTAATTGTTACTGATGTTTCTCCTCTTGATCTCTTGTCCATTACCTTTTTCCAAATCTTCATACTATGACTCATATTCTTTATGGCTTATAATTTTCATTTACGTCTTCTTTGCCTTTAAATATCGGTACCACGATTCCTCTATTTTGGCATTTTCTCTTAACAGGATTTTATTTTAAGGATCTTTCAACCACCTTATGCTAACACTGCCTAATATTTTCCATATCTAGTGGCACTTCATTCTCCTACTGCTTTATTCTTTTTCATTGATGACACAGCCTCCCAATGCTCTTTCTCACTAATTAAATCTACCAATGATTAGTTCAACAAAATATCCTCTAAAATCTCTCTTAATTACTCCTTACTCAGTAATTTTTCAAAATACTCTTTCACTTTTTTTTCACATCATCATCACTTGTTAGTACCTTCTTATTATCACTTATTATACACCTTACAAGATAATCTTTAGACTGATTTTTTTTACTTTTACAAGTCTATAGATTTCTTTTCACCCTCCTTTTTTCCTAGCTTATTATATAACTTGTCATAACTCTTAAACTTCGCCTTACTTATCTTATACTTACCTACTTTACAGAAGCGTTTATACTCCATTCAATATTTTCTCATTTCAAGTCTATAGACAGACTTCTTTTTCAACTTATTTTGTTCCATGTTCCTTTGATCAACAAGATATATATTTTTAATATTTGAAAAATTATATTGTATAAATATTCTATATAATATATTATATTCTCAATGATATATTTTCATCATATACAGAGTGGCCCACCACTCACTGACAACTTAAATAACTTTTGATCCAGTTAATATTTTTAGCTGATTTTTTTTTTAAATAATAGTTATACGTTAGGTCTATAGCTATATCTCAATAATTAATTTTTTTACATTTTATTAAAAATATTAATTATTTTTAAATTTTAAATAAAATGTAAAAAAAAAATCTAAGATAGCTATTTTGTAGAGTAGAATTTAAGAAAAATTTTAGTAAAAAAATATCTTATTAATATTCAGTAGTAAATATTCTGTAGCGTTTTGAAGTTTGTGAAAATTTGAATTTTCATGTACTATTTTACGGTATTAAACATTGAAATACGTATTGAGAAAAGGACAGAAGAAAACGCTATCTTTTCATGATTACTGTGTATACATATGATGATAGTGTGTATACATTACAAACTTGGCATAAATACCATGATAAGAAATTAGATAAGGCAATTATTACTTATCACTCTCATTCAAAAGTATATTGAAAAGATAGCGTTTTCTTCTGTCCTTTTCTCAATACGTATTTCAATGTTTAATACCGTAAAATAGTACATGAAAATTCAAATTTTCACAAACTTCAAAACGCTACAGAATATTTACTACTGAATATTAATAAGATATTTTTTTACTAAAATTTTTCTTAAATTCTACTCTACAAAATAGCTATCTTAGATTTTTTTTTTACATTTTATTTAAAATTTAAAAATAATTAATATTTTTAATAAAATGTAAAAAAATTAATTATTGAGATATAGCTATAGACCTAACGTATAACTATTATTTAAAAAAAAAATCAACTAAAAATATTAACTGGATCAAAAGTTATTTAAGTTGTCAGTGAGTGGTGGGCCACCCTGTATATATGGCCAAATATTTAAAAAGTGTATTTCGTTAGAATATTTTGACAATATTAATATTTAAAAATTGCTATGTGGGTTCATAAAATATACAAAATCAACATTAAGATATCTTAAAAACAGTTGAAATAAAGCCTTTCTAAATAAAGACAAATGCTGTACTTGTCAACAAAAAGAGACAGAGTTTCACTGAAATAGCCTATTTTATTATATTATTTCAATATCATAATGTAAAATAAAAGCGTAAAAAAGAAATATAAGTTTTTAAAACTTATTATATTGTTGTTAAAAAAAAATTAAATTATTTTATCTTTACAATAATTATAGGATTAATGGGCACTGAAGGTCCCCCAGGCCCTAAAGGGGAACCAGGTTTAACTGGTTTTCCAGGTCCACAAGGCCTCGATGGAAAGCACGTAAGTTATATTATATTAAATAATGACTTTTATTTAAAATTATTATTAAATAGCTTATTATTAAATTAATTTCGATTATTCGGCAAACGAAAATGTTCAAACATACACTTTATAGAGTTACATTAAATATTTTAATACATATATTTATTAAAATGCTATTGATTCAATGAATCTTAAGACTGTTATCGACATTTTTTGTAAAAAAAGAGTTAAAAATGGCTTTTTTTGAATATAAAAAAATATTTTTTGAAAATAAAAAAGTAAATAGTAATATATATATTAAATGTATTCTAAATTTCATCAAAATGATAATTGTATAAAAAGTTATAAACATTGTCATTTATATCTGAGATGTCTTGTATAATATAACTTACTTACTTGATTCTCAAAATAAAAATGTTTAAATTATTTTTATTCTGTGAGTAATTGAGTGGGTTAAAAAATCACCCTTTATACAATGTAAATTTTTTAAATAAGTTATTTTATTTCCTTTCACAGGGTGACCGTGGTCCTATTGGTCCCAAAGGCGATGATGGTAAAATAGGACCACAAGGTTCAATCGGGCCAAGAGGTAACGTTGATGAACATGATAATTTATATTATTTTCTTAATAAACACTATAAATTAATCAAACTCAAATTTTTTTTTTAATACAAAAGTTTCATTAATAATTTAAAATATGTGACTTTTGTATTAATTCTCAGCCACTTGATTATAAAAATAAAAATTGGAGTTAGGTTCCAAGTATGGAATTCACTCATTCTCTTTTTTTATATTATTATAGGTGAAAATTTAAAAGTATAACAATTTTTTTTTTGTTAAATAATCTAAAATATCAGATTGCAAGATGAATTTGCATATTAGCTTTCGAAAAAAACCTCAGCTAAAATATGTTTCACTGTATTTGTAATATTTATATAATTATGTATATCTATTCTGACATTATGTTAATATTATTATTTATAATAATATTTCAATATCAATTTTATTATTATATTATATAAATCTACAAATATAGAAGTCAGAATATAATTCTGTCTTAAAAACTTTCCAATCAGGTGCATAATTAGTAATTTTATTGAAAAATTAAACAATTTTTTTTATTTCATGACCATTCTTTTTCGCTCAAAATTCTTTTAAAAATACTATTTTCAGTAAAAATTAAGTCATGGCCTGAAAATCGGTAAGGGTAAATACGGGTCCCACTCATATGTCAATTCCATAAATACGTCTTTGTTTAATTAATTAAGAGCTGCCACACTGAAAATCTATAAAATATGTAAACCTTGTTTATTAATATCAAAAAGATTTCTTACGTTTTACCTGTTTAACATCTAGCTCACAATTTAATATTACAGGTAACATAGGTCCGGAAGGCCCTAAAGGCAATGCAGGAGTACCAGGATTCCCAGGTATTCAAGGAGAACCTGGAATACAAGGACCAAAAGGTGATAGGTATGTAAAATATTTTATGAAATTTTTAACTTAAGTTACAATTTTTAGCTTCGATGTGAAGGTATTAATTTTACTATGATGTGTGCTTTTTTTGTGTCTGTAACCACTTTTTCTCAGCTCTCAACTAATTGATTTCTTAGAACGATTCGTCAAAAGATCACAAATCGTATCTAGAGTCGAAGAAATTTCCCTCGTTCTCCAATAGAATCACAAATTTAAAAATCGCTATTTTTCAATTTTTTTTTCTTAAAACTGCCATAACTTTTTTAAAAATTATCAAATCAATATAATTTTTTTGATATACAGGGGGCCCACCATTCACTGACAACTTAAATAACTTTTGATTCAGTTAATATTTTTAGCTGATTTTTTTTTTTAAATAATAGTTATACGTTAGGTCTATAGCTATATCTCAATAATTAATTTTTTTACATTTTATTAAAAATATTAATTATTTTTAAATTTTAAATAAAAAGTAAAAAAAAAATCTAAGATAGCTATTTTGTAGAGTAGAATTTAAGAAAAATTTTAGTAAAAAAATATCTTATTAATATTCAGTAGTAAATATTCTGTAGCGTTTTGAAGTTTGTGAAAATTTGAATTTTCATGTACTATTTTACGGTATTAAACATTGAAATACGTATTGAGAAAAGGACAGAAGAAAACGCTATCTTTTCATGATTACTGTGTATACATATGATGATAGTGTGTATACATTACAAACTTGGCATAAATACCATGATAAGAAATTAGATAAGGCAATTATTACTTATCACTCTCATTCAAAAGTATATTGAAAAGATAGCGTTTTCTTCTGTCCTTTTCTCAATACGTATTTCAATGTTTAATACCGTAAAATAGTACATGAAAATTCAAATTTTCACAAACTTCAAAACGCTACAGAATATTTACTACTGAATATTAATAAGATATTTTTTTACTAAAATTTTTCTTAAATTCTACTCTACAAAATAGCTACCTTAGATTTTTTTTTTACTTTTTATTTAAAATTTAAAAATAATTAATATTTTTAATAAAATGTAAAAAAATATACCTGTATATACGTGAAGTACTAACCCAACATTTTATATATTTTTTTTATAAATCGGACCCTTTACAGGGGGGAATTCAAAATGATAACTTTTTCACAAAAAATTAACTTTTGAAAGTGATCCGGAAAGTCTGACACATTTATATATATATATTAAATTAAAACTTATGTAATATACTTTATTATGAAAAAAAAAATTTAGAACTTCATTTTGTTTTGGTAAAAATGGCTACCGTATGTTATATTTGTGTTAAAATTTTCAATTGTGTATTTTATATTATTTTAAAATACCTTACAAAAGATTTTGAGTTGGAAAAATTTTTTTAAATCATTTGTTTTTTATCTCATTTAGATTCAATAACTTTAATAAATATCAAGGACCCCATCACTGTAGTCCCCTCTCGTTTGAAGAAATTTCTTATTCATGCTAAAGTTTTTTTACTCTGTGATTTTTTTTATGGCTCTCATTTATTTTCTCAGCTCTCACTGAACCAACTGTTTTTAACGATACATCAAATGATCACAACTATTATCTAGTTAAAGATATTACCCACAAAAATTAAAAAAATTCCACCTTATCAATGAAAAATTTACTTAACTCACATTCTCCACATAAACAATTAAAATCATTCATTTTTAATGTTTTTTATAGTATTTTTTGTCGCATTAGGTTTGATAAGATAATAGGTTTCATTTACATGAAACCTACCTATCATTACAAAATTAAATAATTTTACTTTGTTATATATTAATTTTTTAACTTAATTTGTGTGTTACTAACAGTCTATACTATCCCAAAATTTCTGGGCACATTTTGCTATATAAATCATAAATCTAAATTTTTACACCTGAATTTAACAAAGAATTTTTAGAATTATAATCAAATTTTATAATACACTCAATTGAGTCGATTTTTTTAACAACATTTTGATTAGTTTTTCTTTTAGTTAAAGTAAAACATTAAAATTAATTATGGTCTAAATATTTCAATTGTAAAATATTTTTAAACACCAAAAATTTCTTAGAAATTATTTCTATTTAAGTGATCTATTACAATAAAAATTAAAAAAAAAACATTAAGCTTTTACAATAAATAGCAATTATACAATTCCCTGATGCATATTAATCTTAACAATTCTATTTTTTTATTATCATAAAATTTTCTATTTAAATAATGCAAATTTCAAACTTGAATTTATGAAAACAAATACATTTTTTTTTACTATAATCTTTCAAAAAATCTACTTTAAAATACCAAAAAAATAATTAAAAATGATATTTTGCACTGATTATTTTTAAAATATTAAAAATCAAAATCTGAAATAATTTAAAAACAATTTTTTAATTATTTTTTTTTCGTAATAAATCATTTCTAAAGAAATATTAATAATTTTTATGTAACTCTTGGTGTTTAAATACATGATACGAATGAAATATTCAAAACTATTTACCTTATAGTTATATCCTATAATTTTTAACTAATTTGTAATAATATCAAAAATTATTGGTGATGGAAAACATATGATTGCTTTTTTGAAATTAACACGAAAAATTGAATAATAAAAGTATATTTTTGATTCTGATGAAATTTTTTTGCAGACCATGTATTCATATTTAACAACAAATTATTATCTAAAAAGTTTTGTGTCAAGCCCTTCAATTGTTATACACGTTTACCATAAAAATAATAACAACTTTATAATTTTTTATAAGTTCTCCATAAAAGCGTCAATACTAAATTATTAAATATCGATTCAATCCTAAAATTAAATACTATAATAAATGTTTAATCATGTATTACACTTGCATATCATAAAATTTGTAATAAAGATATAAATAAAAAAAAAAGAATTCATTTTGCTTTTGGAATAATCGACCAATTTTTTAAAATTAAATACTATCTACAGATTTGCATTGAAACGTTTTTTCTGATAATGATTTTAATCACTGTCAGATATCATCTATAATGGACACAACTATATTACGTCCCTACTATGTTGAGTTTTTTTTTTTAACAAAACTTATCTTTATTTCAGAGGGAAAGATGGAGATGATGGGAAACAAGGCCCTCCAGGGCTTCCAGGCGATATAGGGTCTACAGGAAAACCTGGAGTCATTGGTCCACCAGGACGAAATGTAAAATTAATTTTTTGGTATAAAAATATAGTATTTTTGGTTAATTTTATTCTAATATCTTTTTTTAGGGTAATGAAGGGCCGCCGGGACCACAAGGTAGTTCTGGTTCTCCTGGTGAAAAAGGCGATCAAGGACTATCAGGTATACATTTATATAATGAACGCAAGCATAATATGTTTATTGAATAAAAAGACTCTATAATTTGTTTATATTAAGTATGTTAATATATTATAAAATAACTACGTTAGAATAAACGAATATAAAATATTATTCTAAAACATACCACAAGTTTAATTTCAAGTCTTTACGATGAAAAGATAAACATCAACATTATTCAGTTTTACAACATAACTTAAATTTACAAGAAACTTTATGATCTCGCGAAAATATTTTCTAACAACAATGTTTTCATTTTTGTATACATCTTAAATACTTTTTTTAATAGTATTCCGTTCCATAAAACAATTACAAAAGAACCCATCTCATTTATCAATTTTTATCCGCAATAGCATATTAGCTTCGATGATGGTTTTACTATGATGTGTTTTTTTTTTTTTTTTGTGTCTGTTACCACTTTTTCTCAGCTCTCACCGAACGGATTTCTTTCAACGATACGTCAAAAGATCACAAATCGTATCTAGTCGAAGACATTACCCTTCAAAATTGAAAAAATTTCCCTCGTTCCCCGTAAATGGGGGAAACCTCCAAAAAAATTACAAATTTAAAAATCGCTAATTTTCGAAATTTTTTCAATTTTTTTTACTAAAAACTGCCGTAACTTTTTCAAAAATGAACATATCAATATAATTTTTTTTTTTATAGATGCTTGATATCTTTACCTATCATTTGCTATATTTTTTTTGTAAATTTGACCTTTTTTCTGCCCACAGGGGGGGATTTAAAATGACAACTTTTTCACAAAAAATTAACTTTTTCAACTTAACTTTTGAAAATGTTCCGGAAGGTCTGACACTTTTATATATATCTTAAATTAAAGCTAATGTAATGTACTTTAATTTGAAAAAAAAAAATTTGACCTCTAGTCTTGTCTTCATGGTGAAAACGGCTACCGAATGCTATTTTTGTGTGAAAATTTTCGATTTTATAATTTACATTTTTTACTTTAAAGTGCTATAACTTTTTAAAAAATGTATGGATCATTACAATTTTTTTATGAGAAGTAGTATTTATATAGATCTTTCATTCGACATACTTTTTTTTTTAATCGGACCATTTCCCTTAATACAGAGGGGATTCAAAACAATAAAATGCATATAGAAAGTAGAACTTTTTCAACTTAACTTTTGAAAATGTTCCGGAAGGTCTGACACTTTTATATATATCTTAAATTA